AATATCATGTAAGCCTTGGATTTGAGATCTGAAGTGGTGGGTCCTTCAGAAATCCAGAGCACAGAGCTTTATTCCTGGTTTCTTCTAGTCATGCTGTGTCTGGTCCTTTCTGAGCCCATTTCCTTCCTACTAGAAATGGGAAATGACTGTTAGCCTGGGTTATGATGTTTTGTTTGAGATGCTGCAAAGAGTGCTGGAGTGCTGGGGTGCAGCATCAAAAGTCCAAATTCTAGCTCAGCCCTGCCGCTAATGAGCTGTCTCTGGGCAAGGCCTGTGGACTCTGAGCCCCAGGGTCCTCCTCTGTAAAATGGACTCACTGTGCTAGCTGATCACCCAGGTCCTTCTACAAAGTCAAAATTTCTGTAACTCAGAGTCCTTGTAATTCCATATTCCTTACCCCACCCTTATCTCACCCCTTTCATTTCCCTAAACTGAGAAGTAACCTTGGCCTTCAAGGACATCTGTTATACAGTGTCTAAACAGAGAAATATTTTTTTAAATAAAATGTCTCATAGCTTTATTCTTCAAACTGATTTACATCCCTTGCCCACTTTCTACTGATTTATAGTTTTAAAAATTCAATTTCTAATAGGTCTGTTTATTCTGAGCACTAATCCTTTGACAGCTAGATATACGCTAATATATTCTCTTGGTCCATGGCTTGCTTCTTTTCATTAACATTTTTTTAAATTGCAGTATAGTTGTCATACAATATTATATTAGTTTCAGGTGTACAGCATAATGATTTGGCATTTATACATTACTAAATAATCATCCACACCTACTTACCATCTGTCACCACACAAAGTTATTACAATATTGTTGACTGTATTCGCTATGCTGTGCTTTTCATCCCCATGACTTATTTATTTTGTAACTGGAAGTTTGTACCTCTAAATCCTGTTCACCTATTTCTTCCATTCCAAAACACAGCAATCTTTATTTTTTATATAAAGACCAAAGAACTCTATTCAGTGAATAATACATGCCTTATTTTACTCGCCAAAATGAGCAGAGTCTGGAATCATTTCCATTCTCATCATGGAACCATTTCATAGCTGCAATAATGCATTTCTGATCCTTTTTTCTAAGGAGTTTCCTGTAAGAGGGACTTTCTAGGGTGGGTTAAGGGGTAGAAAGAGACTGCAACTGCCTTTACCCAGCCCCTAGCTTCTCTGTATTCTTCTGGCTGAAGCAGCTTAGATGCTTGGCATCAAAAAATCAGTATGACAGTTACGGTATTGAACTAGGGGTCATATGATCTGGGTCTCGTTCTGGATCTTCTACTAATAAGACACATGACCTTGATTTTAAGTCACTTTTCCTCTATGGTCTCATTTTACACATTTATGAAATGAGGAGTTTGGATTAGATGGTGTTTTAGTATGAGTTTGGGAAAGGGACAGGAATGGTGGCAGGTTTGGAAGAAAGGTTTTGAATATGGGGGCAAAGCCTCACCATGTAAGGATTCTTCCCCAGATATTCTGCCACTTTAACAGGCCTGGCCAGCTGGGACAGAACAAGACAGAGTCCCACCACAGGGTAGGAGCACTGTGGGAGTCTTTCCTCTCTCTCGTGGAGGTCTTGGCCTCTGAGGAGAATGTGAAGTGCTAGTTAAATGGAGGCTGGGAAGGGATATCAAGAAGTGTAAATATGGCTCCTGCCTTCAAGGGGTTCACAACTGGGTCAGGAAACACAAGGGAAGTGTCCCAAGGCCAGGAGTCTAGAGGGTGTAAATATACCATCTGAAACATCTATTGATTTCATCAAGCAATGGAAGCTTATTCTGAGCTCATGTTTAGGGGCATATCTCTGTAGGTAGCTAGTCCCATTCCCCAGGAGGAGATGGAGAATGTCCTAAAAAGTCTTGGCAGCCCCATCTTTAATGCAGTTACCTTCTTCCAAAAGAGTCTGATGTTCTCTTTTTAAAAATAACACTTGATTTTGGTCTTGGTGATAGACATCAGCTCAGTGTTCACAGAATGCATGCAACTGGAACGCTGGCTAGGCTGTGTATAAGGATACAGGAGAGGGAAAAGGATGGCAGTGTGGAAAGGAGTGTTAACCAAAGTCTTGGGGTGAGAAAACCCATTATGGATTCAGGAGACAGCTGGTAGACCAGTTTGGCCATTAAGACTTTGAAGAGGGGAAAATGCTGAAAACACAATTTGGAGGCAGACTGTAAGTGGCAAGATGTAGTCAAAAGAGAGGCCATGAGTAAACTTTAGCTCGACTTTTATGATCAGCAAGCATTTGAGCAAGTTATTTAATCTTTCAAGGTTTGTACCTGCAAATGGTAAAATGGGAGTAATAATAAAGCTGATCTCATAGGATTTTGTGAGGATTAGTAGAAACAAAGTATAAGAAGTTCCTGGCATAGGAAGAATGACCAGTCAGTGTTAATTTCTAAATCCCAGGCTCCTCTATGTCCACAGAGGCTTCTTCTCTAACAGGCAGCTAATTGGGAGAGCAGCAACTTGACAGACCTGGTTGTGGGTTAGACTTGGCCAGTTACAAAGTCTTGGATCTTAGTTAAATCACTTAACCTCCTTGAACTTCAATTTACTTAACTACAAAATGAAGATAATCATACTTACCCTGCAGGATTATGGTAAAGTTTACGAATATATTCTGTTAAGCACACCACAGTACCTGTTAACAGGGGAGAGGCAGGAGGTTTCAGTAAATAACGGTGATGGGGGAAAGGAGGAAAAAGAGGCATTGTTATCATCGAGATCCTTGGATTCTTGACTAAAGAGCCTAGATTTACCTTGTAGGCAATGGGGTAAAGGTTTTATTCCCAGATAGGGTATTACAGATGAAATGAAGAGTAGCCTGACCTTGATGAAAATAGTACAAGAATGTGTGAAGGCTAGAGCACCCTGGAGGCAGAGAGACCGACGCTGCAGAGAAAACCCAGCTCTCTATGCATGTGCTGTATAAGTCTTTTATTACCAAATGGATTCTTTTCCTCTGAAATCCAACAATTTGGGATATGTGAGAGACGTAGAAATGGAGAACAAGAAAGGGACAGAGAAGAAAGACACCAAGAGAAAGAGTCAAGGAGAGTGGCAGAAAGATACAGAGATACAGAGAGACAAGGGAGGCGGAAGCTGTCTTGTCTTCAAAGGCTTCCTGACGTTTTGTGTGGAGACATCTGGCACACAGCTGTGCTGCCTGGATGCAGGTGGCTTATGAGCCAGAAACCTGGCATCTCCAGGCTTCAGTTTTCAGCTGACATGTGGGCTATTTTAAATAAAACTGTGTGCACTTGATATGAAGGTGGTGAGAACACCCACTCGCCCGTGTCATCGCACTTCCACTGAGATGTGCCTGAACACCTGAGAACAGCTCCTTCTCTGCTGTCTCCGGACCACCTGCCACCATCCTTCTCTCTTCCTGGTCCAGGAGACGTCTGGGCAGCAGCATGCCCATTGAGAAGGCTTCCCACGCTCCCTTTCCATCATGTCCTTCAGCTCTGTTTTCAATCTGCTTGCTGTTTTGCTTAGAGGAGGTGAGTTTGCTTTGGTGAGAAAGGTGTTTGGCTTAGCTTATTCTGAAAGTGCAATGTCTTTAAATTCAGTCTAGGTTTTTAATGTCATTTTTCCTTATATCTTTTTAGCCAGTCATTCAAACACTGGGCATCTGATAACTAATGGGCTTCAGCAACCTACAAAAGTCACTTTCTGATGCCCAAATTGTTACTGCTGTAATGGCTGGTGCCTGGGGTGCCCTGTTTAGAGAAGGCAGCTGGTACCTATGCCTGTCCAAGCCCACTTGGAGTAAATGAGGGCGCTACAGAGCAGCACTTTTAAAGACTCCTGCATCCTGGGGTTGTATGCTTCCTGAGTGGAAGTCAGGACTGTTGCAGATCAGTAATTTTGTCGATGACAACTGAATGAAAATGCTAATCTGACCCTGAACAATGCCCTGTATTATCTCCTAGGAGTGCATCGTCCAGTTTTGCACATTCCAGTTCTGAACAATCCCATTGTGTTTTCACTAGTGTAATGTCTCTTTCTTTTTTTAAAGAATTTTTAATGAAACTTTTCATATATCAAAAGTATATACAGAACATATAAAAGTAATATGAGCACTGACATGTACCCAGCACCTACCTGAAGAGAGAGAATATTGTAAAATTACTGTACTCTTGAAGGCCTCTAAGATCACACCTCATTCACATCTCTCTTCTAATCTCCCCAGATATTTTTGTCGTCATCTTACTTTTCTTAAGAGTTTAAACTACATATATATGTATCCCTAAATAATGTATTAAGTTTGCTTGCTGTTGGCTTTTCTGTAAATGGTATCAAACTAGATGTGTTCTTTTGCAACTTGCATTTTTTGCACGAAATAATGTGAGATCAAGCTATGTTGATGCATTAAATGCTCATTCATTTATTTCCCCTGTAATATAGTATTCCATTCTTAGGTATACTACAATTCATTTATCCATTCTCTCTTGATAGATACTTGTGTGTTACCTGCTATTATAAATAGCAAATTTAAGATGTTTTTATTACTACAAACCTGATGCTATGAATGTGTTCTGAACATCTCCTGGCACACAGGTAGAAGAGTTTCTCCAGAATTTTTAAGTTGTGGGTGAGATTGCCAGGTCAAAAGATTTGAGCATTTTTTTACTTTATTAAATATTTCTGAGTGTTTTGTAAAGTGGTTGTGAAAAGTATCAGTGTGTAAGAGTATCCATTGATCCAATACTTGGTAATATTTTTTTATTGCCTACCTTTTACATTTTTGCTGGTCTTATCAGCATACAGTGGCAGCTCTTTCTAGTTCTGGTTGGCATTTCCTTGATTACTTCTGAAATGAAACATTTCATTGTTTGGTTGGCCATGTTTCTTCTTCTGTGTTGAATTCCTCATGTGTTTCCAGGGCATCCCGATCTGTTAGGCACAGCTCTGCATGTGGCTGCATTGGGGCAGGGAAGGGAGGAAAGCATATGCTGACAGCTGCATGCTGCTTTTCTCTGTAAGGCCCTGAGGACGCAGGGAGTGGCCACTATGGACCCCATTATATAACCGGCACTGGAGTTGGTGAGGATGATGATGGATTTGACGATGACTTCGATTTGGATATTTCCTTTGAGGAGGTAACAAACATCCGTGCCCTTACACCCTGGGTGTTTTTGTTTGATGGCTGAACAAAGCAGTTTAGCCAATGGGCTGTGAATACTCAACTTAAAACTTACTTAAATTGGCTCATTTACTTTTAGTGCTTATTTATTTCCTCCAACTGTTAGGCTCCAGGTGATCACAAATTAACAGTACCTAAGCACCAACTACACAATATTCTATAGTCAGCCCCTGCCCACTGACTTTACAATCTGGCAAAAACATATTTGGAGTTCCAAACTTCATAAAGTCAGGGATCATAAGGAAACGAACAATTAATTCCTTGACAAAGTAATGCATCTCTAGAATATTGCAACAATAAAAAATCATATAATATCAGCCTTACCACTGATTTTATAAGTATTACAGGCAAGGTACTTACAATCCTTGAGCCTGAATTTTTTTATGCACAAACCGGGGTCAACACTATCTGCCCCGTCTATATCCCAGGGTTTGGGGAAATATCAAAAGTGATTAAATTTCCAAGTATTGGGCATCAAAAATAAATAAGGTGATCTAGTTAGTGTGCTCTGCATTAATCCTGAACACTTTGCCTTCTCCGGCTTTAGGTCAAACCACTTCCTGCTATCAAAGGAGGGAAGAAGAAATTTCTGGTAGAATCCGAGGTGGTGCCTAGGTCGAACCCAGAGACTGTTTCTAGTCTTGCCCCCCCAACCCCGGCATCCCTCCCTGTAACTGCGGTGGCCCCTCAGCCCACTCCAGTGGGGAGGAAAGGGGAGAAGAGTGTGACTGTGATGCCGAAGCTCTTTGACATGCCTTGTGATGACACGCTCTGTTCTGCTGACAGCTTTTGTGTCAATGATTACACCTGGGGGAGCTCACGATGCCGCTGCAGCCTGGGCAAGGGGGGTGAGAGCTGCACAGAAGGTAGGTCCTTGGTGGGGGAGGAGCATGCCGGTGGGTGGCCCCACTGGGAGCCAAAGGGCAGCTTCATGGCCCACTCATGGTTCTTCCTAGCCCTTCTCCTCAGATAAGCCCCTTTGTCCACGTGTTAACATAAAGCAACTTCCATTGCTTCTAGTTGGACAGCAGCCCTATTTCTATGCGTGCCCAACATGCAGTACTTTTGGAGCAATTAATAAATCATCCTGATGGTACCCTGGGGAGGTGGGCTTACCTTTTATCATATCTCTACTGAAAAAATGCAGCCGAAATGTGCATGAAGGTTGAGAAAGATAATAATTGAGCTGATTTATATTACACAAATGTACAACTGAAAAGCAGGGGTCAGAGGTCTTAAAACCATTGGTTTATTTTTATGGTACCAAGTAACAAACTCCAAAGATCCAGTTTCACCCTAAGATCAAAGTCCCCAAGAGTAACAACTATAGGTGTAAAAAGTAGAAAAATGAAGATAGGAAGCTAGGTTTAACATATTACCAGGGACTTTCACTTAATGACACCCAGGCAATGGTGTATATTGATTTTGTTTTTGAAGAAGAAGTGAGGAAACAGCATTCTTCTGTGCTGTCTTTTTCTTTCAGATCTCGTTATACAGTATCCTCAGTTCTTTGGCCACTCCTTTGTAACCTTTGAACCTCTGAAGAACTCCTACCAGGCATTTCAAATTACTCTTGAATTTAGGGTAAGAAGGATTAGTTGTTTGATGAGTGCCTATTGGAATCTTAACACAGCAATGTGCTACATCCAGAGGGAGGAGGAGCAGGGAGAGGAAGCAGGGAGGTAAATACCAAAGGTAAGTGGACACTCAGCCTGTCGTTTCATCTGTTCACAAGGCAGCAAGAATGATGGGCATATTCACATGTTCACGGGCACCAGGAGCACCCAGTGGGTTTTGAACATTACTGAACTATGGATGTGGCTGGCCTGAAGGCTCCCAGTGAGAACACTTGGGTCCCAGCCATGATGAGAGCAGTGACTGCGCCCAGGCCAGGATTCCAGAATGCATAATGCATCCTCCATTTCAAAATCCCTTTTAGAGGGAACCCAAATATCTGCCTTCATTGCTCGGGCTGTAGCTGAACAAAAAGAAAGCCTGCTACACACAACCCTGGCATAGTATGAGGGCTCAGCAGATCTAATCTGAACCAACTGCAGATCAGAAATCAGCCAGTGACTTCTGCTTAAAGGGATTCTTTTGGATATCTCAGATGACATAAAAGGTTTGGAGATCTGGAAGCAAGTCCCCTTTGAGAGCATGGTCACAATGTTGAGTGTCCAAAGGATGGCCCATCCCTGTGTAGCACAGCCAATATGGGAGAAAAACAGAATCCATCAGCTGGGGTGTTTTTTCCTCTCCTGTTCTCTTGTCAGAAGGAAAGAAGCAAATTTGCATGCTTCCCCCAGAGGGAGGGGAATTAAAACAAATAAGGGAAAAAATAGAAAGCTCTTTGGTGAGAACAGAATTTGGTGAACATGAGCACAGCCTCTCTGTGACTATAGTCTGTGCACACGTGGTTTTCCGGAGGCTCTGCTGGTGGGGCCACAAAGCCAGGTAAAGAGCAGCTCAGACATGGGGCCACCTCCTCTTGCCTCACTGCCATTCCTCACACCTGTTTCTATTGCTGCCATTTATCAGAAATGAGCTGGGACTAGGTATCTGGGAATGAGTTGGAGCCCATGTGCTTGCCCCTCTGTAAATAGGCCACAGAGGGGAATGCTAAGGTTTCATATTCATGAGCGCTTCCAGGTGGCGCTTTATGGAGCAGGAGGTGCTCTTTGCTCATGAGGCTTCTGTTTTATAATCACAGGCAGAGGCGGAGGATGGCTTACTGCTTTACTGCGGGGAGAGTGAACACGGGAGGGGTGATTTCATGTCCCTGGCGATCATCCGACGCTCCCTCCAATTCAGGTAACTCCTGGCAAAACCCCATGGATTTTTAAATAATACCCTACATTATATTTACATTTTTATAGTATGGATAAAATATATACAGGATGGATTCCTGCAAATAAAGGAGCAGTTTGTGTAAGGTGAGCATGGATGAGTTTACTAAATCCTTGCAGGGTAACTTTGAAACTTGAGTTTTGGAACCTTGTAACCATTCATTCATTCCACAGGAAGTGTTTTGGGCAGCCACATACAGTAGGCACTGCTATAGGTCCTGGGAAGGCAGCCATGAGCTAAAGTGATAGAATCCCTTCTCTCCTAGAGCTCTGGTGGGCATGGTGGGAAGAAGGCTGGGGTTCTCCTTGTCCCCTAGGGAAATGTGACTGACAGCCATGGAAAGCAGAGAGGAGTGTATAGCCTCCTAAAGGTCCCCAGAGGCTCATACCCCATCCTCATCTTCCCTCGGGTTGGCCTGTCTCTCCTGTCCTGGTCATTTATCTCCCAACAACTTTGGAAGCCGCTGTTAGTTTGTCTGGGGGCAGAGTTTTGTGGTGGCCCAAGTGCTTTAACCACCCCCATGGAGGTGTACATGGCACCAATTTGAGAACAACCAGTGGGGATCAGCCTTGACCTTCTCTGCAGTGTACTGCCTAGATCCTCGTGGCACCATTCCCCTGCTGCCTGACCTTCAGCAAATGATTTAACCTCTCCAAGCCTGTTTAAATGCCAGGGTTATTATGAGGATTAAATGAGTTAGTACAAAGAAGTGCTTAGGACAGTGGCTGACTCATAGCAAACACTCAATAAGCATCAGCCATTATTGTCTTTTGATTATTTCAGCACAAAAATTACTTCTGGTGAAGCTGGAGAAGAGTCTCGAGCATCCCACTTGGGGTAGAAAACGACCCCCATCCTTTGCTAAATGCTTTGAGCTGTGGGAGTTGGATGTTAGTCCCCAGGATATGGGAAGTGGTCCTAATCGGTGGGGCATTAACACTTGTAGGACCTGCTAGGCTTCCAGTAGCACTGGCGGTCATTGGCTGGTAGTAGTTCCCCAACTCCACCGCTCTCCTGAGTGATTCTGATAGCCACCGTCTAGGTAAGCCTGTCCTGCACGGCCACTCAGCCCCATTCCACTCCACTGAGGATCACGAGGTACAGGGAGGGCACGGGAAGTGGGCTGCAGCTAGTGCAAGTCCTGAGAGGACAAGGCCGGCCATGTTTCCTTCCCCACTGGCCGCCTTAGGACCCATCCAGAAGAGGCATGGCTGGTGTTTGGAAATCGAAGGGAATGGGTCAAAGTTCTAGATGTTGGGCATAGTGACCAGTGGGTACTCTGGGCTCTAGGGAGGCTGGGGATAAACAAGGATCATGTAAACAGCTGAGACTGTGCCCCTTCTTCCCACACCTCACCCCTAATATGGACCACCCATGGAGGCTGCACCTGCACTTGGGCACAGCTGAACACAGACGGCAGTGCCAGCCAGCTTGCCAAAATGAGTGTTAAGACTTGGTTTTTATTACATTTTAGTAGTACCTCTGAGTCTGTCATTTGAGAGTTGGGGAAATTCCCCAGAGTAATCCCTGGAAGTAGAATCATTCAAGTTCTAATTTACGGCACCTTGAATGCACTTTAAGCACCTGGTAATCTCTGAAAAGGAGAGGGCGGATCTTAGTTGCTCATCGTTTTCTTAGCTGCATAGAAAATCAGGTTACAGAAGGCTCACATTTAAAGATTCTATGGGCAGATTAAAAAGAGCTAGACCACAATCGCCCCAGAGAGAAGGGGTCTAGTTCTTCCTTGCATAGTTTTAAACAACTCTTGATATTTGTAAATGTAACTGTGAACAGACTGACTCAAAGGAGCCATCACCCCGGAGTGATGTCCATGGAATCTGAAAACATGATGAGCTGGTTGATCAAAGAATCGTCTTTCCTTTTCTTCCCTCACAGGTTTAATTGTGGAACCGGGGTGGCCATCCTCATAAGTGAGACTAAAATCAAACTAGGGGCCTGGCACACAGTTATACTCTACCGAGATGGGCTAAATGGGTTGCTGCGACTGAACAATGGCACCCCAGTGACAGGCCAGTCCCAGGTGAGTTTGAGCCTCAATCCCAGGTGAGTTTGAGTCTCACTCTCTCCCACCCACCTAACACCCATGGTAGCACCCGGAGAGGGTCCCACTGCAGAGAGCTGAGATAGACTGGGCAGGATGCAAGCTCTGGATGGGCCGTTTATCATGCTGCACCCATGCAGCTGAGCTCTGTTGGGCTCCTGCTGGATCTCACTCTAGATGGGCTTTCAGGTCATGCACCCATTCCACATCTACTAAGAAGAACTGAATTTGGGAGCATCATCCTTGTGGATGTGCAGGGACATGTTGTTTTTCCCTAAGAACATCAAAGCCAGGAGGAGAAGGTGGCCTGTGTTGGAAGAAGAGAAGCCATTATTAGTGCCAAACATGAAGCTTGCTTTTAAGGCAGGGGTGTTGCAATCTTGTGGCTTTAGAAAATAGTCCCAAAAGGTTCACTTGGTTCACTATACAAGAATAATCCATTCATCTACCTTTTTTGAGGCCCATGATTATAGGAAGTGGCAAAACAATTTAATTGTTGGGCCACTCAGCAAATCACCTAGGTATTCACATATTTGTCATGCTCTGGGCAATTTTAGGGCTGTGTTTAGAATAAACAGTTTGGATTAGCAACCTGCCAAGGAACTGAGCCTGTAATTATAATCAGGCAGATGTCCTTATTCTCTGAGGGAAAATGTAGCAAGAAAGCCTTTGTGTATATGTGTATAGCTTCTTCTCTGCCTGGGCTCACACTGTTCTTTGCTGGCTGGACATGTTATACAAAGGGCCATGTCTTGCTGATCTCCATTAATTTCTACTCCAATGGATTACAAAGTGATAAGAATCTAAGTATAGTGATTGTGAACCCAGGGGAGATAGCTTATACATATATGCATTTATTTCTAAGAAATGAAAAGACAGAAGAAATTAACTACTGAAGCACATAAATGCCAGAACAATAGGCCTAAATAAGATTAAAATTAAGTTTGATAGGAATAAAAAAGCTTTGCAATAGTAACAAGAAAATAGGATGGAGAAGCTGTAATAGAAGCAATACATGTGAAAGTGGCTCATGGTCTAAACCAAGGAAATTCAATAAAGCTTAATAAACAGAGCCACATGGTAACACCATGCTAAAGAAATGATGGGCCACATTAATATGGGCATAGCATCTAGAAAAATGGAGATAAAAATCCTATTCAATTCTGCTAACTATGTACATAGCTTCTGGTGCTCTACGGGTGACTCTGATCATCTGAAAGAACTACATTCAGATCTGTATGTACACTCTCAGGGGACCCCAGACAGACTGTGCATGGTCACAGGGCAGTCAGTGAAACAAGAAGATGAAATTTCTGGAACGACTGATTGAGAGAGTATTGCTTGGTTTAGAGAAGAGAAGATGAAGGTGTGGCTGGTGGCTTTTCATCATAGAGTTAAAGGGAGGGTCTTGGGGAAGAAGGACTTACTCTGCAAACCCTCAAGGCTGAAGCTGAATTCAGAGAGTCTCAGCAAGACAATTTTACCTCCACTTAATCACACGAAGGTATACAGAAGTGTAACAGTATCTCAGGAGATGGCTTCCCATCTTTAGGGGTGTTTAAAAACCAACTTATCAAAACCTTTATGTAGGGATGTACAAGGAATCCAGCAGTCTATAAGAGCTTATATTATATGAGTTTTCATATTTTTCCCCAATCCTAAGAGTCTATGATTTTAATGAATGTAAGAACTAACTGTAGGAAACACATAATTTTATGGATACTCAGGGTGATATTTTCTCTCTGCTACCAGGACTTGCTAAGCAAGTTGTATAAATAGGACAACAGATGTGGAATGTTTAAGAAACTGTTTTGGGAGATAGTGAGTGTGTCTTAAATCAGAGTTCACCAGAAACAGATCTGAGATGAAGAGTCCTGTGCAAATCACACATTAAGAATGTGTTGCCATAGGAAATCTGAAGAAGATGGACAGGGAATGGGTAGAAGTCATCAAATTGAGATCTCATGCAGAGTTCTTCAGGGTCTGGCTTCAGCCTGATCCTGCAGGGGAGCGGGGAGTGTAAGTTATACCTCAGAGCGATCCCAACCCAAAACAGGGGAACTGGACTGTCACCTTTCAGCACCCATCAAAAACTGTCAAGGGTGGCACTGGGGTTTGCAAACTCTGGGGACATTCAGTTCTCTGCATAGGCAGGCAAAGGAGGCTCCAGAGATGGGAAGGCAGGCCCCATCCGAGGAAGGAAAAGGCCAGGCTCAAAGACTATTGCCTGGGATGTTGTGAAGAGACCCTCAAAGGAACCCCCCCACCACCACCATCTGCCACCATGATGCACTTGATTCTCCAGAAAAGGAGAAAAGGATTGAGCTGTCAGGCCCCTGCTTTGGTCTTGGATCAGGGGAAGACCCGGAAGGGTGAAGGTGGAATCCAGAAGAAGTGAATTGACATAAGCCAACAGGGTGCTCAATTCATCTAAGAAAAGCAGGATGTCTGGGGGCTGGCCAGCAATTAAGCCTTAAAATCCACTAAGTACATAAAGCTATCTAGTCTATATTCAATATACTATTGACAAATCATTCTTTATTCATTAAAAAAGATAATGCAATGTTTAGGTATGTACTGCTTGTTGATAACAAAAGTATAAAGGATAAAGATTACATTCCAGTGGCTTATATTCTGAACATTTATAAATGCCTTTTCCCAACCCCCTTCTAAACCCTTTAATCCAAATGAATGGGTTATTCCTGTAATAAAAAAAAAATGTCCATGGGCACCTTAATTTTGCCCCACCTAATATTCAGCTCTATTTTATAACCTCAAAACCTGCAAGCCAGACTGTGGTTTTCTGTTAGACTGGAAATGTCCCTACCTAACTGTAGCAATATTTTTAAAAAAGTCATGTCCATGAGCAAATTTCAAAATGTTTTGCAGCACAGTCTATTTGTCAGTCCTCCCTCCCTCGCCACCCACCCACAATGTTTCTTGCAGGATGTCGTATGAAGGTGGCCAGGGGAGTGAAAGGAGAAATGTTAGCCCACATATACGCAAAATTAGTAGCATCACCTTTTGAGGCACAGAATAGCCCTATGACCCATCCAAAGTACACAGCAAATTGGTGTCAAGACTGGAAAGGGAAAGTTTTTTTTGGATGTCCAGCATGGTACACTGCTTTGGCTCTGTAGGGTTGTTCTTGGCTCTGATATACCTTCTAGGCATTCCAAAACCATCCCTCTCAAAACACAGCCCTCGTTGAGTTTCCCATGGCAACTTTGGGTTTCATTTTCCAGTAGGGCAGTGTCTTAAAGGTAAACACAGAAGAAGGCACTGGGGATATAAACTACATCTTAACCATGTCCCTCATTAAAATCTGTTGTGTTTTGGCTTTGGACTTTGTGCTGTGAATCACAGTGTTTATCTTTCTTAAAGGGCCAGTACAGTAAAATCACCTTCCGGACGCCTCTCTATCTTGGTGGGGCCCCCAGTGCTTACTGGCTGGTCAGAGCAACAGGAACAAACCGAGGCTTTCAAGGCTGTGTGCAATCGCTCACTGTTAACGGGAAGAGAGTGGACATGAGGCCCTGGCCCCTGGGGAAAGCGCTCAGAGGGGCCGATGTGGGTAAGTGGTTGCCCTCTGGGCTGGGGTGCTTTTGTGTGGCTGCCTTCCTGGTGTGGGCCAAGGAGGCAAGTGGCTTCACTGAAACCCTAGGCAGCCGGTGAATGCAGAACTTCAGGAGGGAGATGGGCCCACGGGGTGGGACTGGCACTCTGCAGACATGACAACCCTGAGCCTGACCTCCAGGCATGGGCAACAAGATGGGCACCACGTTCTTGGCTATGTCCTGCTGCCATCTTGGCCCTCTTCGTACAAGGGCCACCACGGTCTCATCAAATAAAGCAACTGGCAGGCCAGCTCTTTAACTCTTCCCTACCTGGCCGAATGAAGCCAACACCATAATGTACAAAGAGCTGTCTGCTTCTGAGAGAAATTGTCAAATGCTTATCTTGACCACTGTGTCCAAGACTGTCTCATGTGCCCTCTCATGTGGTCCCCACATTACCTTGAGGAGGTAAAAATTGTTTCCACACCTATTTTATACATGAAGAAACTGAGGCTTTTAAAAGTTAAATAACTTATCCAAAATAACAGAGCTAGGAGTTGTTTTCTTTTCCATTTTTCCTTTCTTTCTTTCTTATTGAAATTATTTTTTGAGCAGTTTAAAGTTTACAACAAAATTGAGGGGAAGGTACAGAGAGCTTTCCCATATATCCTCTGTCCCCACACATGTATCACCTCCTCTGTTGTCACCATCCACTCATCAGAATGGTGCATTTATTACAATTGATGAGTCTATATTGACACATCATAATCAATCAAAGTCCAAAATTTACATTGTGGTTCGCTCATGGCATTGTTCATTCTATGGGTTAGACAAATGTATAGTAACATATATTCATCATTATGGTACCATACAGAGTATTTTCACTGCCCGAAGAAACCTCTGTGCCCTCCCTATTCATCCCTCTCCTCCCCTGACTCCCAGCTTCTGGAAGCCACTGATCTGTTTTATAGTTTTGCCTTTTCCAGAAAGTCATACAGTTGGAATTATTCATTATGTAGTCTTTTCAGATTTGTTACTTTCACTTAGTAATATGCATTTAAGGTTCCTTCATGTCTTTTCATTGCTTGATTGTTCATTTCTGTTTAGCACTGAATAATATTCCATTGTCTGGAGGTAACAGTTTATTTATCCATCAACCTACTGAAGGACATCTTGGTTGCTTCCAAGTCTGGGAAATTAAGAATAAAGGTGCTCTAAACACCCCTGTGCCAGTTTTCTGGGTGAACACAAGTTTCCAACTCCTTTGTGTAAATACCAAAGAGTGTGATTGTTGGATCTATGATAGAAGTATCTTTAGTTTTGTAAGAAACCACCACATTGTCTTCCAGAATGGCTGTACCATTTTGTGTTCTCACCAGGAATGGACGAGCATTCCTATTGCCCCACATTTTTGCTGGCATTCAGTGTCATCAGAGTCCTGGATTTGGGCCATGCTGATAGATGTACAGTGGTATCTCATTATAATTTGCACTTCTCTGATGGCATATGATGTGCAGCATCTTCTCACATGCTTATTTGCCATCTGCATATCTTCTCTGGTGAGGCATCTGTTAAGGTCTTCAGCCCATTTTTTAATTGGGTTGTTTGTTTTTTATTGTTGAGCTTTAGGAGTTTTTTGTATATTTTTTGTAATAGTTCTGTATTAGATGTATCTTTTGCAAATATTTTTTCCAGGCTGTGGCTTGTCTTTTCATTGTCTTGACACTGTCCTTCACAGATTAGAAATGTTTGATTTTAATGAATATTGGCTTATCAGTTATTTCTTTTATGGATTGTGCCTTTGGTGTTGTATCTAAAAAGTCATTTCCATACCCAAGGTCATCTAGGTTCCATCTGTTATCTTACAGGAGGTTTATAGTTTTGCATTTTACACTGAGATCTGTGATCCATTTTGTGTTGATTTTTGTACAGAGTATAAGGTCTCTGTCTAGATTCAATTTTTTGCATGTTGATGTCCAGTTTTTCCAGCACTATTTGTTGAAAAGACTAGGATTGTTTTCAAAGCAATAAGGACATTTATTCCATCCTCAAGGCAGTAGATAGATAACTGTAAGGTTGGCTAATTCAGTGAGTGTTTTAGTCTGTTAGGGCTGTCGTAACAAAATACCACAGACTGGATGGTTTAAATAACCTTATTTTCTCACAGTTCTGGAGGCCAGAAATCCAAGATCAAGGTGCTAGCAGGTTTAGTTCCTCCTGAGACCTCTCTCCTTGACTTGCTTGCAGATGACTATCTTCTGACTGTGTCCTCACGGCCTCTGTTTATGCTCACATCCCTGGTGTCTCTCTCTCTTCCTAGAACACCAGTCAGATTGGATTGGGGTCTACACTCACACTTCATTTAACCTGAATTACCTCTTCAAAGGCCCTATCTCCAAACACAGTCACATTGAGAGTTAGGGCTTCCATCTATGAAGTTTGGACCTTTGAATTTTAGTTCATAACAGTGACTCAATGATACCAGAACTCTGGGTTGGTTTCTCTGTGATTCTCTTGTTTTTTACTCATAATCCCAATATGGTGCCATAACTGTAAGCATCACATCCTCACATTGTCCTTGGCAAGAAATGATAAGAAATGGCAAGTCCCTTTCTTGGGTCTCTTTTCCCTCCATTTCTAAGATGTTACTTTGAAAGAATGCCCAGTTAACACTATGTGCCCCTTCTCAGATTCTGCCATTAACATTTTGCTACATTTGCTTTACTGCATGCCAATCCATTCTTCTCTCCATTCCTGGATGTGAGCTGGAATTCAGTCCTCATGTCTCCAGGATGATTTATTTTGTAATTAATATTAGTTGAGCACTTACTATATCACTATTCTCAACTACTTTCATCTTCCCAAGATTCCTATGATGTAGGTGCTATGATTAGCCTTAGTGTTTACAGATGAAAACTGGTGGTACAGTATAGTTAAGTAACTTGCCCAAGGTCTCACAGCTAGTAAATAGTTGAGCCTGAATCTATCTGATCTCAGCTATTCTATTTCCAGTACCTGCCCCTTAACCACATCTACCATATCAGAGGGTCCCCAATTGGCTTCTTATTGCTCTTTTCCACTTGGCTTACTCTTAAAGGTGATACCATTGTTAAAACTACAAAAGATGAAGTTTACTTAAAAGGAAGGGAATACTATTCATATGTTACTCCCTATGTGATTTTCTCCCCATGTGATCACATAGTCAAAGCATGCAATAAACAGTGATGACTAGAACAATCATAAAAGTACCTACTGTGTGGGATAATGTCTGAAAAAATGCATCATTGGATACCTGTGATGACTCAGAACTTAAGAATCAGAAGTGCATCAGTCTCATGTGGTATTTAAGAGCCTGGCCTCTGAAGGCATATTGCCTGGATTTGCCACATCAGTGTGTGCATGAACCTCTTTGGTAGCCTGGTGAAGCCTGTGGATCTCTTCTCAAAATGATGTTCATCAATGCAGAGAATAATATACATGATAGGAAGCAATTACATTGAAATAAAGTTATACAATATTTTGAAGTTTTGATATAATAATATATGTGCTTCTTTATAAAGCACTAAAGTACAGGATTATTTAATGATGGATGCAGTAACTACCATACCTTCAAAGTAGTAATGAGCATAAATGATATTTGATTTCAAAGTAGTAATGCTCATAGATGATGTTTCAAGACATCTGCAACTGCGGCAGGTGATACAACAATAACTCAGGTCTGATGGTCACAAGTCACAAGAACTGCTAAAGCTAGAGGCTTGCTGCCTGTGTTAATAACTAAAGGACACACTCGATTCTAGTTAGAGGTTCAGGAAAAGAAAGATGACTGTTTTTCCCATTGAACCCTGCTTATTCACACTTGCTGAGATTTTCTCTGACTTATGCCAGTGCCATGCTTTGCACAACCCTGCTGTCCTTCTGGTCTGGGAACCCTAGGAACCTCTCTCTTCTCTTTCAAGACTGGCTCCAGCAACTCTTGCAGGGCCCCTCTCTGCACCTCCTGTGATGGGGCTTCTGCCATCCCCCCTGCACAGCAAAACTGCCGTCCTGAGGCTGTGCGTGGTCATCTCTTAACAAAACCAACAGCTTTGCCTCCTGGACCTGTTGACTGTGTCAGCTCTGATCCTCTCTGCTCTTGTTCCTCCGGGAACTTTGTGAGCCTGCCCTGTCTGGGCCCTCGGCCTGTTCTCCCCTTGTCTTCTCTGCTGGCTCCCCAGCCTCCCCCGGCTCCCTGGGAGTTCCTGGGGCTCTGTTAGCCTGTCCTCTCGGAACCAGTCCATTCTTGGTGTCAGGGTTCCCCACACATTGCTGCTACCCCTCCTGCTGAGCTGTGGGGACCCCTTTCTGCCCACGGAGCTCAGCAGTAGATGTTTCCACAGTCACCTTATGCTTAAACTGAGCAAAAGCCAATCTCTCTGCTTCCCCCCAACCAGTTGGTCACAGACACACCCATTTTCTTGCTGTCACCACTGTTTCAGTCTTCCGGGCTGTGGGCCTTGGGGTTCTGCACGTGCCTTCCCCCACCTTCATCCTGAAGAGTGAACTGGCTCTCTTCTCCCTCTGTGCTTCTTTGATTCTTCCCTTTCTCTCCCTTTCCTCTGCTGATACTCTGTCCACCCTGGTTTACCTCCACATAGGATTGTTTCCCTCTTTCCCACCATGTCACTCACAATCCATCTTGCATACCAGGTCATCCTGCTGAAACACTGTTTCCAGAAAGTAAACAAGTGCAGTGACCTTTAGCTTCCCCCCACCCAATCCCACCTCTTAAAAACAGTTCCAGTGTAAATTTGTAAACTTATGTTTCCACGTATATGTAAAGTAACCCAGAGGCCCCTCCTATCCGTGCGACCAGCCCTTCTCTGAGGAAGCATCTCAGCCCATAGAAATTGGTCACTTGCAGGGACCATGGGAGTTTTTCTCTGCACCATCACTCAGCCTCTGTGGACACTGTGGGTGCTGGGGACATTCTCGGGGCTGTGGCTGAAGAGACCACTGCTCACTTCTGCCTGAACTGCCAGTGGCCCCAGCTGGAATTCACAGAGGCCAGCCCAGCACAGCTAGAGTGGCGAGCACCAGGAAGGGCTTTAATTAGATTCTGTTAGCTCCTGCAGCGGCTCTCCTGGGCACACACAGGCATCCAGCCCTTCCCCTCCTCCCAGTGAGGTTTTGTGAAAAGACTGGATCCATGCAACAAGCACAGAGGACTGATGAGGAAAAGAGGAGAGGCTCACCCTGCTGAGATGACACAATCAGGCCGAGGAGGGCTCTTCACCTCACGGGGTGGGCTACCAGCTCACCCGCACACAGCCCTGGGGACTGCGGGGTGCAGCGCTGGGCCCCTCACTGCTCAGTCAGGGATGTAACCCCTCTGCCTCCAACCCAAGAAAAAGTATTTTGTATCACCTAAGCTCTGGGCCAGATTGCAGCCCACCTGTCTAACTTCTTATACACAAGCAGAAAAGGAAGACCAAAGAAGCAGAAGAAAAGCAGCCCGGAAAAGTCTATTTGTTTCCCCTGTTACAGGCCTCTCCACTATGTGTTTGTAAGGAAAATGAACCCATTGATGTTGACCCACTCAGCACCTTTTGGTCAGGGCCACCTTCCTGTCCCTCATGAGATTGTAACTTTGGAGGTAGAAACGGGTTCTGGAACGCACACGCTCACGTATAATGGAGCCGTGCCTCATCCCTCCCTGCCCCAGAAGAGCTGTGGACGGTTCAGGCACGTTACTAAGCTCAGGCATGGCTGCATAACTCCTTCATGTTTATCTTGCCTCAATTTTCCACCGGTGAGGTGGCAGCACTTACAGTAATTGGGGCCACACAAATTAGAATGCTTTCACCATGAACTCTGTGATGATATTGGAGGGAGTGAAACACACTTAGGGGAACAGCAAGGTGATGAATTAAAGCAGAAACAACTCAGTCATCCCTGTCAGGAGTCATAAAATTGCCAATTGATTGTCTGATCTGTTGCGTCCACCGTGTTTTAATTCTGTGTGGCTCTTCATAAAAAACAAGCTGAAATGCAATTAAAACAAAGGGCAGGTTCCACTCATCCTGAAGGCTGGTTTGCAGTTGCATAGAGGTGCCTGTCAACGGGAGTGGGAACTGAGCTGTGTGTATTCAGAACCATGAGCTGTTGGCATGGTCAGCTCATCATCCTGGACTGGCTTGTGGGCTGAACTGGCTTTGTGACACCCATTCTGTATTTAGGGGAGTGCAGCAGCGGACTCTGTGATGAGGCTTCGTGCGTCAATGGGGGCACCTGCACCATAGTCAGAGCTGACTCCTATGTTTGTCTCTGCCCCCTGGGATTTAAAGGCCGACACTGCGAAGATGGTGAGAAAGAAGCAGCTTGACGGCAGTTTCTGCCTGCATTGTTCATTCATGTTAATGGAATTTTTCATCCTCTAGCAAAGCCCCATATATTTGTATGGGATTAACATTGCTTTTTGGGGAGGGTTGGAAGAATCTTTTTTTACCAGGTTGGAAGGTCTTTGTGGGTGATATGTTCTGTTTAAGATGCTTCAAGGTCAGGCTTTGGTGGACTCCTCATGGCCCTCAAATATCTTTGAAAAGCCTCTTTGTGTGGTCTGTATTAGACTGAATTTGAAGCATTTACAGCTCATGTTTCTGAGAATAACTGGCAGTTTCAGAGAAAAGGCTAGAAAGATATACACAGAAACACTAATGATGCAATAGGATGAAAGTGGTCTTGTTTCTTTTTCTTTGTCCTGTTCTGCTGAATTATTTCACCTCTCAGTATTGTATATATTGATGATACAAAAAAGTATATATATATATATATACACACACACATATATATGCATGTAAGCTTACTTGCACACACAAACACAAACATATAATAATGGAAGAATTTAAAGGTGTAAAAGACTTTGGAAAAACATGCAGGGTTGAAAATGTTTTCACTTTTCCACCAGTGATTCAGATTTGGGCCTAAGACACCATCCCAGGAAAAAAATTTTTTTAACATTGTATAATGTCAAATCCCACGTCACCTAGAACAGGGTGTATGAATCAGGGTAAGCCAAAGCTGTTATATGCCATCTCACATTTCTGCAGTCTGTCATAATAAATGTGGGCCTTGCTCACTTCATACATCACTGCAGTCAGTGGTGGTGGTGGTGGTGGTGGTGGAGATGGCAGCCTCTGCTCCACACAGTCATTCAGGGATTCAGACTCCTGCTTCTAGTGGCTCTTCTAGGGATTTAGAATCCTCCACTGCTCCACTGATTCCTGCATTCAGCCAGCAGGTGAGGGAAGACAGAGCACATGGAGGACAGAGGGAAGTTTTAGAGGTCAGACCTGAGGTGCCATACACTTCTCCCACCCCATTGCACGGGGCAGAATTCAGTTACACCATCCACCTAACTTTAGGGAAGCTTGGAAACAGTTCAGCACTGCACCCAGGTGGAAAAGAACATGGTTAGTTCTAGGATTTCTAATGATGTGCTTGTTTCTTCAGCTTTCACCTTGACCATTCCTCAGTTCAGTGAGTCCCTGAGATCCTATGCTGCAACACCTTGGCCACTGGAGCCCCAGCATTACCTATCCTTCATGGAGTTTGAGATCACATTTCGGCCGGACTTGGGAGATGGTGTCCTCCTGTACAGCTATGACACAGGCAGCAGAGACTTCTTGTCCATCAACATGGCAGGGGACCACGTGGAGTTCCGCTTTGACTGTGGCTCTGGGACTGGTGTTCTCAGGTAAGGGCCCAGACCTTTAGGATCCCCTTTCTCAAAAAGCCAAACTGCAGCCACTTTGGAAAAAGATGAATTTGTCATCTGATAGCTTGCACTATTCCTGTCTTCTCTACTGTTATCATTTCTGAAACCTGTTCTGCTTTATACAGATGACATGCTTCCTATAGACCATGCTGTCCTGCTGGCAAGGTTTCCTTTTCTCAAATAACTATCGATCAGGGAATGATTCTCTGCTTTAAACTATGGAAAATGGGCTTGTTTCAAATAGGGGTAAACTCCTTCATTTCCACCGGAGGTCACACAATGGCATCAGCAGAGACTCGACGAATTGTAATTAATCAGCACCTTGCCCAGAGCATCACTCAGTGGGTGCTCAGCAAATACATGACAACTAGTAAAAAAGTATCAGCAGAGATTCAATGAACAGAAATGTCCTTGGTGGCCTCCCTTTACACTTGAACTTTACTTTTGCACTGTTCCTTGGTGATAACTAGTTATTTAGCAAGTCTCTTACTGCTCTCCAAGTAAAGAACCTGAGAATGAATCACTGCAAAGACCCCTACCTGAACAGCATGCTCAAGAGGGCTCCGTGAGTGGTTTCAGTAGCATGGCAGTAAGTGGGTGCTCCTCAAGTACTTGCTGGTATCTGCAGAACTGGTTCTGAGTCGTCAAAGCTTTCCTCCTGTTATCTAGTTTGTACTATTAATTTACTTAGCAGATTGATGGCTCCCAGACAGTGTGTCAGGATCTTTGTGAATCCCTCAGAGCCTGTGGCTGATAGGTGCAGGTGTTGTTCTTATTTGTTTCTGCCTCCCTCTTCTCACTGTGTTCCTCCCATGGGTGTTTTTACCTCCAAGCTGGAGACCTGCTAATCTAACACACACATGCCTCCTGTTGCTACGTTTGGTGCCTCTCCTTTGAAACACACTAGGCTGTTTTTGTTCAGTGGTGCCCACAGCAGGAGATCAGTTGATCTGTTGTTGTAAAGGAGATTGTAGTCCCTGTTCTGCCCCAGTTCATATTGCTAGACTGTCATTCTTAGAAAGAATATGTGTTGAGATGTTACAGCCATGCATTGGCCTTAATTGCTGATCATTTTCCATGGCTGATGGGACATACTTACTGCATTAGGTTTCAATGATTCTTTAAAAGGACAGCTCATTTTTGTCCTTACGGCTGAATTCTGCCACATCAGTGACACATCGTGCCCTGGGGAATGGACAAACCTTTTTGTACCTCTGGTTATGCAAAAACATCCCATGTCTCAAGATAACTTTGGTGGGTATTTAATTGATTTAATTTACATGTGATTATGCAAAACAGTCTAAGCAATTCACTTAGACCTATTTGTCAAGTGGAGAAAAGAAGACACCTTGACTATGACCTTGTGCTTTCAAATTGGTTCCCCCTGGGTCCGGAATGCCCAGAAAGAGCCTGGGAAGCTTGGGGCTCATCATCTGTGCTCCTGGACAGAGCGCCCCTGCCCCTCAGCAGCGGCAGCCCCAGCTGTGAGGTCGCAGACATGAGGGAGCTTAGAAGTCCAGCATTTCTCTCTTTCGTAATTCTGTGCTTATTTTTGACAAGAGGTGTTTTTAACTTTCTCTTGTAAGCACATGTTATTATTTCCCTGCCTGTCAGGAAGGCACTTGGCCAGGCAAGTGCTCAGGGTTTCCAGGGAACAAACCAGTGTCTGCCCCTTGTCCCATCGCCTTTCCCGTGTAACCTGACAGCAGCAGTCACTGCTGGTGCTTGAGACGCCCCTTCGGGAAATGTTTATTTTGCAAACTATTTTAAAGACTTCCTGCTTTATTAAGAAAACTCAGGGAAAGCCTGAGCTACAGGAAGTTGTGGAATTGGCCAAATCATCTTAACTTAAGGAAAAGGATAAGGTGGTCAAATTCATTATGAACTTGATTCAAAAATCGAGACAAGTGAAATGAGCTTGTGATGGCTGCGATCAATACAACTGTGTCAAGAGAGGCAGTGTATTGACAGGGAATGACCTCCATAGGCAAGAACACAGCTAAGGCACCATTACTTATTGTGGAGACAGGCTTTTTCAAAGGTACTGCGGGTTTCTTTATTGCATATTGATTTAGCCAAGGTGATTAAATTCTAATTGCGAAGAACAAATCACAAAAGTATTTGCCAGAGCAAAAAAATCAAGTGAGTGGGCGGAGACCTTTCAATAATTGTGCCCATTGGTATTCTTGGTGGTTTTCTAAAGATGATCTGGCACCAAAAAATAATTGAGAAGTTCAGTGAAGCCAAGGAACTATGCACATCATAAAAAATACAAATGCAATAATTACACTCTTTTTGCACACCTCACTATCAAAAGTCACATGTAAAACTATATAATTTAAACTTCAAGTGCTGAATTAATAACTGAGTTTTTCAGTACTTTTAATCTTTTTCACAATAGCAGACAACATAGAATCTGTCCTCTCCAACAAATACTTTATTATGAAAAATTTCAAACATATAGAAAAGCTGAAAGAAATCGTACATCCTCTGACCCACCACCTTTAGTCTACGATCAACCTTTTGTTCTGTTTGCTTTATCACATATCTATCCTTGCATCCATCCATCCATCCAACCATCCATCCATCTTCTTTTTTATGCATTTCAGAGGATGCTGCAGACATCAGTATACCAAGGAAACTGTGTTTTACACCATTGCTCATATAATTTTCTCTTTCCCAAAGCTTGTGTGCAACTATGGTCACATTTTGCCCTCCTGTCACTCATCAACTAGAAAGCTAGACTCATCCTACTCACATTTCAGGCTTGTAACAAATAAATGAAAATAATAAATGCAGCCCTCCTACCATGAAGGGGGCCAGTACATGGAGCAGTACTGCTGTGTTTACTTAGCAAGCATGGTTGTTTCCTTTCTACAGAATGGAATGAGGTGCCTAATGTTGGCATCAGTTTCATCAGGGCTGGACTGATGAACATTATCCATAACATCAATGATGTTAACCCACATTGTTTTCTTCCTTCAACAGGAGTAAAGACCCCCTCACCCTGGGCCACTGGCACGAGCTGCATGTGTCTCGAACAGCGAAGAATGGTATTTTACAGGTGGATAAGCAGAAGGTAGTGGAGGGAATGGCAGAGGTGAGGACACACCTTTGCTGTTGATGGTCAATGTGAACTGGGTTACTGCTCTCTTCCTGTCCTGGAGAGAAAAGCAGCAGCGGCGTAGTGGTTAAGCACCTGGGCTCCATGGCCCGGCTGCCTGGTTAGCCCCTGAGCTCCGCATTGGGCAAGTTACTTCGCTCTTCTCTCCCTCAGCTGCAGATGGGGAGAGTGAGAGGAGAGGCCTCATAGGTAGGAGTAGGCCCTGAGTCGGCTAATGCAGGGACAGCACTTACCCAACTGCCTTCCTCCCCAGCCCCACTGTGAATCTCTGCCTTGTGTCAGTGTGTAACGTAGTTGGTGAGTCAGAACACAGACTCCGAGGCACGGCCAGTGACGTGGGTCACACATCTGCCAAGATCATAGGCTCTGAAACCAGACTCCTGCGTTCAAAATCCAGTTGCATTACTTACCAGGGGTATGAACCTAGACTGCCCACTTGACCTTCAAGTTTATGTTTCCTCATCTGTAAATTGGGGGTAATGGTGGTAAATGTAGTGCCTACTTCATAAAGTTGTGCAAATTGGACTACATATATAAAACACAGCAGTGTTTGGCACATGGGCAACACTGCAGCTTTACTTATTATTAGTTAAAAGAGTACTATCATGACCTAAAGAGCACAGGATTTTCATTCAAGTTTGTGACTTCATGGATGATTTTATTTCCAAGGTCATGTCCAAAGGAAATCATGCTTTTAAGAAGAGATAAGAGAGAATTCCTTTAAACTGTAACCTAGAATTTTTCACACAAAAAATTTGCAGTCCCCTGAAACAGAAGAGACTTTAGATTTGCCATCATTTCAATTCCCAACAGTCTTCACTTGGTGCATTGCAAGAGTCAAAGACAGCACTGATGAATGTGGGTGTTCCGGCAATACAGTGGATTCAGAGAAAAAGAAAAGGATGGAAAAGGGACTTTGGTGAGGGAAGAGGTATTTGGTCGAAGAAGAGGGAAGAAAGGACCCCCACGTGCGAGGCCAGACCCAGGGGTGTCAGTGGTGGGAGGTCCTGCCAGATCCAAGGTCGTCCTTGGGATGAAAGGGATCCAAGCGGAGTTCTCAAGGAGCTTCCTTCACACCTGGGACATGTTCCATATGTATCTGTGGAAAGACGAAGGAAGGAGGGAAGAAAGGGAGCGAGGTGGGAAGGAAGATGAAGGGAAATGGATTTTAAAGGGGGAACAGGAGTCACTTCTCGTACAGACCAGAAAATTCTACTAGCTAACCTCAGTCCAGGATAGAATCAGAAGCTCTTAAATATAGACCTGACTGTATGTCGACTTAATAATCTAAATTCAAAAGCAGTGTTTTTCACTCAGCATGAGTTAACAAATGTCTGTACAAGAGAAACAAAAGATTAGGTTGGGAGTGCTTGTAAACAGTTGGGTAACGGCCCTTGATTATACACAAGGGACTGTTCAGGACACAATATCTACTGCTGCCATCCTACAGGGGAGGGAAGAGCAGAGGCGAGAAACACTCCTCAGGGTTTCTATTGCTGCCGTCAGGGAATGAAACACTATGGGAGAACCCTGGCCTCTGGAAGGGATGTGCTGCCTTCCTGGAAGGCCCCCTAGACGTGAGAAAGGGGAGGCGTGGTGTGCTGTGTGCACCTGAGGGTGGCTCTTTGGAGGCTGCTCCTACACAGGAGTGGGAAGTCCCCGGCTTGACGTCAGTGAGTTGAGCCTTAATCAGATCTCCTTCCAGGGTATTCTGCTCCCCTGCCATGTTCAGAGACGTGGCTGTTAGGAGCAGTGGCCTTAGAGCTTAGGGAAAGGTCAGGGCAGGGGTTGGAGGACACTCCTGGGGGCTGCGCCACGACCGAGGTCCCCCAGTGTCCAGATTAAACCTGGCTGGTTTGCTGAGCTGATGGCACTGAGAAATGCCAACCTCCCAGGGCTGTGCCAAGCTGTGTGGGACTCCCAAGAAGTGCACTGAGGGCTTGGGAAAAGCCCAGCTGAGGTTTTCCAACTACGTCCAGCTAAACAGAATGGCAGATTCAAGCAGGAAGTGCCTCAACACGAAACAGGCCCACTTTGGGGTCTATTTGCTTCTCTCCTGGGGCCCCCAAGGGGGTGGCAGCTGCAGGCCCACCTGTGGGCAATAAGAGGATGGCGGGGAGGACACTGGTGTGTGGCCAGAGGAACCAGCACTCACCCCACAAGACCTGACCCCATTGGCTAGACAGAGCCAAAACTCTCAGCACAGACAGCAATGGGTGCCTGTGGGTGTGTGGTGACAGTTCCTGCCTGGTTGGGTATCCTGTCAGGCCTCGAAGACTCCTAAAGGCCCTTCTATTCCTTCGACGAACCCTCCCCCACCCTCTCCAGTTAAATAAGAGCCCTGAAAGCAGCCTGAAGTTTATAGACACAGGCATTTTGGTCTATAATCTAATCAAGACCTCCCTGCCGCTACCTGTCTTGATCCAGCGTCGGTGAGCCCCCTGCAGATGGGGAGCATCACCCTCTCTGCCTGCCCGGTCCTCCCGACCAGACCCCAGATCCATTCTCCTCCCTCTGGCCAGTGATCTTCCTAAAGCATAGTTTTCTCTCTCCTGCTTAAATCTCACTGCAGAGCCTGCACTCTCTGGTCCCTCCAGGCTCTGCTCTACGCCTACATTCCCCCCAAGCCCTGATGGCGGTGTCCGTGTCTGCAATGCTAACTCTCCCCAGACCACTCCCCAGCTCTCAGTGTCTGGGGTGGGGCATGAGACATCCCCATGGTAGATACCTCGGAGCTGCCTGCACCATCCTCACAGAGCCAATCCCACCTGCCCGTTTACTTGTCTATATTCCCCCTGTGGAAGCCTCTGAACGGCAGGCACCGGGCCTTTGTGATTTACTATTGTTTGTCCAGCACTTAGTGCCTGGGACAAAGTGGGTGCCCCAAAATATCTGTTAAATTAAAAACTGAATGCTGCTACTTTTTGTATTTCTTTTACCATATATCAAAGGAAACACTAACATTCCCTAAAGTCTGTGCATCACCCAGAATTTGCTTACAGCTCATGTTTGAAGGAATTTAGACATTTTGAATACTACACACAGCTTGTTATCTAGCCCACCCATTGGAGTTCTGGCTGTTTAAATGAGCAGAAGCAGGGAAGCCCTGGGGATTGACCATGGGGAGTCCTCTGAGAATTTGGAAAATGGAAGAACTTCTATGCCCTTTGTAGCTGAAACAAGGAATACCTCCCACCCGCCATGTTCTTTTTCTCTTGCCCTAAAGAGATTCTGTCTTTCCTATGACAACAGCTGGCCATACTGGGATGCTGATTATGTGTCCAGCTCTGGACACAGTGCTAACTAAGTGGGATCTCAGGCTCCAAGAGAGGCTGGACTGTGGTATAGCCAGTCACAGCAACCCCAAACTGTCAGCAGCTTGTCAAAGGGTTTATTTCTCACTCACCTTCCATGTCCACCAATGGTCAGCTGCAGCTTTGAGCTGAGACCAGGCTGAAGGAAGAGAGGGAAGGGGAAGGGCATGGTGAGCCATTCCCTGGCTCCGAAGGGTTCTGCCCAGGCATGAGGCATTTCTCTTCTGCTCATGTTTTACTGCCTAAAGCACACCACATGGCCCCACTTGAGGCTGAGAGGTTGGAGGCAGCCTTCCTTTGGGGAGATGAGTATGGCTGAAGGAGCCCCAGCCGCCACCAACGGTGATGCAGTCTGCCACGTTCACTGTTACACAGCTGTGAGGTAGATGGGTGATTCCCATTTCATAGATGACAAAACTGAGTCTCAAAGAGGCTAAGAAATTTGCAAACATTCAAACAGGTGATAAGTAGCCATGCAACACAACGTGAAACTCAAGCCAGCAGACCGTCGTGATGGGTTTTGAGGCTGTCTCTCCTTATTTGGTAGTCTTAACTATCTTTTCTGAATTATACCGTGTTTTGTTTTTAATCTGTTGGCAGGGAGGCTTCACACAGATTAAGTGCAACACGGACATTTTTATCGGTGGAGTCCCCAGTTACGATGACGTGAAGAAGAACTCGGGTGTCCTCAAGCCATTTAGTGGGAGCATCCAGAAGGTACAGGCTTCACTCACTCATGTTTATTGTGCCACCTTGACTACAGACAGTGAAGTTGAGTATTGTGATCAGTAATCTGCTACATCCAAAGAGAAGCTTTGAGAAATTTTAACATACTCACAGCATTGCTTTCCAGTGCTACTTCCTTATAACGTCGGCACCTGGGCCTATTCCCGGCAGGCATTCCATGAATGCAAGTCAATGAAGATGAGCTTTTCCAGCAAATCCACCGAACTATTCAGAGACTGCAACTAGCATCAGGTGCCGCAGATACTCAGCACAGGGGAAGGAGGTGAATGGAGCCCAGTGACTCTGGGCTCTGTGCTTCTCTTTGGGGTTGTTTTGTTTGCTCAAGGCAAGAGCCAGCTCTCATTCCCACCCCCACCCCCACAGTTGAGCAGTTGTTCATCAGTCACATAACCAAGCTCTTAAGAGCATAGATTAAAGAGTCCTTCCATACAAGGTTAAAAAAACACTCAGCTAGTAAGAAATAGAGGGCATTGGCCCCATTCGTATTTGCCTATTCTTCCTTCTCTCAGGGCTGCCCATGATCTCTCCAGTTATGAAAATATGTTCTGTCTGCACCAGACATGCAGGTTGACTTCCAGGACCACCAAGCCCTGGGAGGAAAAGGATTTGAAGAAAAGCTTATTAGGTTCCCAGATGTTACTTCATCCTGTTTGCCTTGGACCAGCATGGGCCACCGATCCTTTTTAGACCCAAGACAAAGTGTGAGGGTGACTAATGGGAAGGAGGGGCAGCAGAAGATGGTCCCATCATGATTTGCCCAGCTGGGCTCCGTCCTTCTCCTGTGTCCCAGTGTGGGGTCCAGAAAAGGGGCCCCGTCAATATTTGCTGACTCTGTTGCGTTTCCCTTTGCTGCTGAACTGTGATGCCTGTGACACTTTAGTTCAGACCATTGTCTGCCCATGAGTGGGACCGCCATGTTTAATTGTGCATTTGAAATTCTTAGGAAGCAAGCTGAGCTGCTGAGAGGCTCCACCCCTCCCACCCTGGTCAGGCTTTGTGGTCCCTTCACACAGCACCCACAGCCCTTTCCCCTCACTTCCTGGAGAGCCCTCCTCCCCAAGTGGCTGAGTCCTTGGCTGTGCCATAACCTGCAGGGAATGGCCCATTCTTGGCTTGTCTCAAGCGCGTTCAAGCTGAGCTGCTGAGAGGCTCCACCCCTCCCACCCTGGTCAGGCTTTGTGGTCCCTTCACACAGCACCCACAGCCCTTTCCCCTCACTTCCTGGAGAGCCCTCCTCCCCAAGTGGCTGAGTCCTTGGCTGTGCCATAACCTGCAGGGAATGGCCCATTCTTGGCTTGTCTCAAGCGCGTTATGTCCAGGTTTCACGGTCCTTCACTTCAGCATGGAAAGGGGGGATTGTAGAAGGTTCTACCCTCTACCAGCTTTTGAGATTCAGGACTGGGAAAGAGCTTTCTCCCAACTCTCCCAACGCTCTCCGAAAACTAGGCAAGCCTGTGAAACATGAAGGGCCACTGCTTAACTCTTAGGACTCCCCTGCCTATAGGAGGTTCCCTGGGAGGTGCTCTCTCTGTCTCTTCAGTTCAGCAAAGCCTGCACAACACTGGAACACCAACAGCCCAAAGTAAATACATACTCCAAGTCAAGGGCTGAAAACATTGCTCCATTTATTTGGCCTGGGGAGTCCACCCCCGAAGTCTTCATTTTTGCTGGAGCCCCATTGCAGGCAAAGGGGTGAGGATCAAAGATCTCTCTTGTCCCAGTGAATATGCACAGCAGTGTGCAGAATGGGGTCTGTATTTCACTCTTTTTTTTAACAATTGGAAAGAAGGGAGTTAAAGAGTGTCAGGGAGGGAGCATAGCAGGAGCAGTGGGACCACTGGGGAGGTCCAGTTGATGGAGGGAAGAACACAGTAGTATGGTGAGAAGCTTCTCCCAGCCCCACCGCCACCAGAAGCTACCCTCCCCCACCCCGCTCCAGCCCCTTTGTTTCCTGCCTATATAATGCTGTGTTCAGTATTCTTCCCTACCTGGCTTCATAGCATCATCTCTCAACCGTGGCTGCATCTGAGAATCACCTGGAGAGCTTTTCAGAGTTACTGCTGACTGGGTCCCCTCCTCAGAGATGCTGATTCAATTGATCTGGGTGGGACCTGAGCAGTAGGATATCCCTTAAAATCCCCAAGGTGATTCTAACATGCAACCAGGCCAAGAGCCCTAATTCTGTAGTTACTGGGATTTCTTTGTGAGCTTGACAAGTAGGCAGGCCTGGAACCAGAGGACGCTTTACTCCCTGATGATTCTCCCAAGAGCCACTGAAGGTAACTGAAGGTAAGAGCTTCAGTTCCTGCATCACTTCTAGGATGATAAAGCAGGAACTGGATATTTTCTTTTTTATTAAATCTCCCTTACCACACACAGTTCAGGCCAGTGAGCTGAGGGGAGCCTTAGAAGACTGCAAAGGGCTTTCTGAATTCCTGAATTTCTTTACATTTTCTCTCTTCAAGATCATCCTGAACGACCGAACCATCCACCTGAAACATGACTTGACGTGGGGCGTGAACGTGGAGAATGCAGCCCACCCCTGTGTGGGGGTCCCCTGCACCCACGGGGGCAGCTGCCGGCCCAGGAAGGAGAGCTATGAGTGTGACTGCCCCTTGGGCTATGAGGGGCTGCATTGCCAGAAAGGTACACGGGGGGGTCTCTGGCCCTGCTTCAGAGCAGAAGGAACGGACAGACCATTGTGGGGACCGCCGCTTTTAAAGGAAGAGTTGGTAGCACTGGGCCTGCCATATGGGTTCCTTTTACCAATGATTTCAGTAACATATTAGATAACATTTCAGAGGGTTAATTATATATAAGCTACTATAATTCTTTAATTAGAATTAAGTGCAGAAATACTTTTGCACAGTAGATAAATGTCTCCCTCCCGGAGAATGTCCTCATGGTCTAGCAACCAAATGATTAACTCGTGATACCTGGGGGCTTCCAGTACCCTGGCATCCAAGCCACCCCAAGAGCCTGTCATGCAGGTGAGTGCCTGGGTGTGATGGGCTGATAAATATTTTGGCTAAAAATTTTGACTTCTACCTGTGAATGCTATAAAGAGAAATCTGAGAAAGCTTGCCAAATACAGAAAAATACAAATTTTACATTAATCGCTCAAGACTAAAGTAAAAATAACCTCCTGTAGAGTACTGTTTCCATGCCACCTAGGTTTCCTCTGTGCCTCAGTTTCCTCATCAGTAAAATGGGGCAACAATAAAAATGGTATCTAACACAGAAGGTTGTAGTGTAGATTAAACGAGGCAATGCAAAGCATATTCCTTTGAAAACTGCCTGGTTAGTATTCAACCAATACTAAACATTATTATTTTTGGTGAGAAAAATAAAATTCACTGGCAGGTGCTGTGAGCCACCCAGCCTCCAGCCTTTCCTTCCCTGAAAGCTAGAGCAGGTCACAGACCACAAGCCCCTGGTGGACTGAGCCTTCCACACCTGCTCAAGGGTGGCAGAGGCCGTGGGCTTCGTGTCTAGAAGAGACCTGTCCACAAATGGCCATGATGTTGGGCCATATGGACTTTTTTGGTTAGAATGTCAGTATGGTCTCACTGTCCTGGAAAGGATTTTTTTAAAAAGCTAGACAAGCCTGAAGGAACTAAGGCCAAGAGCCTAAGTGAGAGAATCTCTTTCCTATTTGTTTCCAGGTTCCTGATTTTCATCAGAATTAGGGCTTAGAGAAAAAGCGTAAATTACAGGTAGATATTGCAGTAAATGGAATGATTGGAGAAGTTGTTTTGCAGCAATCTTGGAAAATATGAAAGATGCCAGTTTGCCGGTTGGAAGCCTGAAGAGTATATTTAAAATGAATTTTGAAACCTGCATGGCAAATCATATGAAATATATTTATTAACATAGTTCACCCTAACGATGAACAGGGAGGTGATGAAAAGTAACCGATCCTTTGTGAGCAGTCCCAATTATAATTCTAACAAGCAAATTGTTGTTTAGCTAATAGTGTATATTTGCAGAGATTTAGTTCACTGAGTGGCCCATTCATCCAGAAAATTGGGTTTGGATTTCACACGTCAGTGTTTGAATTTCCTAGGTCTCCAATTCTGCCACGTTCAGTTCAAGCTCGTGCCTTAACTGCCAGTGCTAATAGCCAATACATGAAGTGCAGGGTTAAATGAACATTTAGCTTTGGGAATTAAAGGAGGAAGGACAGGATAATTTGTGATCTTGTTAACCTTTGTTTCCTGCTATAGAACATTCTGCATAACAGATACAAAGTGTTCTCATTTATAGCTTTGTAGCTATATGTTGAGGTACAGTGAGAAACCAATCTCAACAGAAAGAAGGGTCAAATCTCTGGTGAGGGCCTGAGGCTGCTGGCAAGATGGAAGGGAGTAGACAGCGGCAGAGGACTTGGTGGGGATTTAGGCCTCCTTTTTTGCAAAATACTATGCTAGAGCCAAGATTAAAGCCCAGACAGACCATCAGCTGCCCTCATGTCATATCAATATTTCCTTGTGCTTTGAAATAAAGATGGTGCTTCTGGCCAAATGGCAGCTGTTGCCAATCCAAGGCATATGGGAGGCGTGGCCTGCACAACATAATTTGTCTCCTGTTATATGGCTCGAGAGGATTAATGGGATTCTGGGTGCAGGTTAGGGCCTTTAAGGACAGTTTTTCCATGCCCTAGCAGGCACAGAGCATGGCACAGTTTCCATTCAGACCGCTGCCATATCAGGGTGAGCATCTAGACCTTGGTAAGGATGGGAAAGAAGGGGATGAGAAATGGGCGAGTACACTGTTCCATAAAGATGCGACAGGACATTCTCAACATTTGGGTAAATTCTTAGTGGGAAAGACCAAGTATGGTTAGAAGCACATCTTTGTTATCAGAGAGAATCCTATCTCATCTGGCAAGGTGATTTGTAACCGAATATATTTAAATGTTAGATTTTCCTCCCCAATAACCAGATTCGAAAGCAAGAACCTATTCTTAGTATTTCCCCTAGAAGTTAACCCAGCCTTCTCCATTGAGCAATGTGTTGTAGCAATCTCCAGCACCAGGCCTCATTCAGTCCATACCAAGGGGTACCTTCGCCACCTGGAATTCGGTTTTTGAGGTCCTAATCTCATCAGGGAGTTTGTGGCAGGCAGGTGAGCTCCACTAGGGGACTATGGGGACTTGTTCCCACCTCTTGGTGGTGCAAGAGGGCTGGGGCCAGAAGCACAGACAAAGCCTTGAGGGACTCTGGGCCCCGAGACCATCATGGTGATCTTGAGACCCCCTCCTCATCCCTGCCAGGCTAGGGCAGGAGCACGTGGAGGTGGGAGTCAGGCTCTGTGGCGCTGCACACTGTGCTCAGGGCTCAGGCTCTGCGGCAGCCGCAGCTGCAGACTACTAAGCCTCTTGTCCGACCCAGGGCAGCTGCAGGACCCCCAGGGCCAGGGGCTCTCCTAATTCCCAGCCTTAGCTTCATTGGCCCTCCCCTTCCCTTTGGGGACTGTCACCCTTAGATTCCACCGCAAAGCTCAGCACCCTTGGCACCTCACCAGAAGGGTGTCAACAAAGGCCCCTCCTCAAAAAGATTCACCCGGTCCTTAAGGATTTCTTTCCCCTTTCTCCCTCCCCTCATCCAAATTTGCCCATCTGTGTCCCAGTCCCCAGAGTTCTTGTATCCAAGTAAGTCACCGAGAAGTGAAAAGAGTTTCATAAGGCAAAAAATTAAGTTCTTAGAGATATTAATGGCTGTTTTGCACACACACATACACACACAAAGACAGACAACAGACATTCACATGCACAAAACGGGAGGGAGGTTCTGTGGTCAAATAAATTTGGGTAATCCTGGGTAAACACAGTTAAACAGCTCTTTTCTGCAGGACTTCTCAGAGCCTTTGCTAGGCTCTGAGTGTCCAAAACCAGGGCACAGGATGCAGCTGTTTACCCCTAAGTTTATCCCAGGCAATAGCAGACAGGCCACTTCAGGAAGAACTCTGAACCTGGGCTCTCCCTTCCCTTCCCTGCATTGCTGTTTGAACTCAGCCTGTGCAGGACCCTGGAGGCCACTAGATGGAGATGTTTCTCTGCGGCAGGCGAGCTGCTCCGTACTGGTTACCGACACCAAAAGTGGCTGAGGCAAAGCCCAGGCTTAGGTCACACACTGGTCAGGGATGCACAGCCCTAGAAGACGGGGTCTTCCTTGAGCAGTACTGTTCTACCACATATACAACATTTTGGACATCTCATGTTGTCTTTAGTGAGCTCACATCATATAGCTAGATCTGAGTTGGGTAATTTTTTTTTTGCCCCAGTGATAAAAAAAAATAGCTTCAGTAAATCTAGGCCACAATTTAAGGAAACTCAGTGTATAAAAACACAAATTAATATAACACAGAGGGGGAATTTCTTTTCTTAAGGATGGTGTATCATTCACTGTGGAAAATTAGGGGATGTTAGCTTGGATGCTGGTCTTTAGCTAGTTGAAGGCTGGTAGTGCAGAAAATGATTTTTTTGTTTACTCTGTGGCTACAGAGTCAAATTCATGTAATGGAGAATTCTGTACCAAACAGAACTGGCCCAGCAAGAGAAGGTGCTGCCCAGTGGGTGGGTAAGCTGCCCGTCATGGAGCCTGTTGCCCTGGGCTGGGTGGCCGTCCATCAGGACGCTGTTGAGAGCAGTTCTGGTGGTTGGGGAAGCTTGATCACAACACCCCGTCCTCCCTCCGCTGCGGCCCTGTGACTGTGTGAAAGAGCCAGCGTTCCCTTCAATGCTTTATCGTCCTTTGGGAATTTCACATCTCTCAAGTGGAAAATTTGTTTTGCCTGGCTTGGAAGCTGCTATTCATTGGGATATTTCTGTGCCACCAGATGGCACAGGTTTTAGGGTGTACATGTGGGGGAGCGACAGGAACACCTTTCAATTAGTGCCTTTGCCCCAGAAAAAAGACAATGTAGAAAAAATCAGGTAGAAAGAGTTAGAATAAAATATAATCATGATTGCAATATTTAAACAAGCCACAAAGGGCCAGAGAGGGCTAGATGGTCACTCCAGCTCTGATGTTTTAGGGTGGAATTAATATTTACTCATATATACTGACTGCCACTGAGTCTATTTTTACCATTTTGTATTCAGCAGTGTCATTTCTGGTGAGTTTCCCTGCCCTTTGTTAATTACAAAATAACCAGGACTCTGGAATCTTGCACAGGGGCTGAAGGCATTGCGTGGGTGGGAATTAGGGTGATAGTTTCATGACAGACAGAAAAAAGGGCGGCTGGCTTATTCTTCCTTTCTCATATACAGCCTTGGGCAAAGAAAAGTCATAATCAATGACAAGGTAAGTAGCTCTTTAGCAAGGAACTTTTCTCCAGGTTTAGAGTAAGTGGGGATTATCAGTGAAGGTCAGAGGAGCCTCAGAAGCATCAGACAACTCATTATCCACCTCTTCTTGGTCCACCACCACCCTAACCCCACTACTGAGCAGACACTAGGGAGGTGAGTTGGGTGACTTGGTGCTCATCATGCTGAGAAAATATTTCCGGCATTTCTTGTTGGAATTTGTATTTGCATTCCCTAAGAGGACATGCTGGGCCCTCTGCAGGGCTTTACGAGGGACACAGGGCTGGTTTCCAGTGATCTGCAACCACAGTAATTGGGACTTTATAGTGGCTGTGAAAGTCTGACTTACCCCGTTCTGTTTCATGCTGGCCCCTGGCAGCGTGTGGGAACTACTGCCTCAACAGTAAGTACAATAGGTCCTGTGTGACACTGGGAAAGCGCTCCAGGCTCACGCCACCACAGGCTCAGCCAGGCTTCAGGCGCAGTGCAGGCCAACCACATGCAAAGGGTACTTGGGTTAAGTTGCATGGGGCTCGGACAGATCTCCCATGGTGGCCGGAATCCTCCGTCCCGAAACACCAGCCCTGAGAACACAGTTATCTCCCAGCTGGAGCTCCTCGGGTGCCTGAGCTCCTGAATTAGGGGGCTTCGCAAACAGCTGGACGGGGCCCACACAGGCCCCTCTGAGGCTCTGTGTGCAGAGCCGACGGGTGACATCCTGGCCATTTCAAGGAGTCCTGGGAAACAATGGTTATTGGCTACAGGCCCACGGCCACCGCCAGTGACAGCAGGTCCAGGATCTGCTGAACCGCACCCCCTGGGGTGAGCCAAACCTGTTGGGGCGCCTTTGCTTATGTTTCGTTCCAGAAGGACTCCTCATCGGCTTGGACACTCTCTCCTCCCTTCTTGGCACTAGTATCCTGAAAGAGGAGCCTGCTAAGAGCTCCTTTTGCATCCATGTTTGCATTTCTTTCTTTTCTCATCCTCCACTCCTGCCCTCTCATCCCGGTTTCTGTTCCTCTGGTCCTTGCCCTCCCTGCTTGCCTTTCCCATACTCCTCTGCCTGCCCACCCTGCTCTCCTGTCTTCCTACCTCCTCTTCCTTTGCTTCCTTGGCATTTTTCTTCTCCTCTGCTTCCTGCTTTCCCCTTCTTTTCCTCTACCCATTCACTTTTCTACCGAGCTCTTGCCATTTTGCATCCCACTCTTTTTCCCTCTCTCAGTTTCCCTTCCTTTCCTTCCCCTCTTCCTCCTCCCCACTTTGACCAGAAGGGAGAGAGGCTAGTGGTGCAGCCCAGCATTTAAAGGTACCGTCATGCTCCCTTATCCTGGGGGGATTCTCCCCAAGGCCCCCAGTGGATGCCTGAATCTTTGGACAGCACCAAATCCTATAAACAGATGTACCGAGCTCTATGGTTTCTCCTCTACATCAAACCTATAATAAAGTTTAATCTATAAATTAGGCACAGTAAGGGATTACCAACAGTGACAAATAGTAAAATAGAGCAATCATAACAGTATACTGTAATACTATGTGAATATGATCTCTCTCTCTCAGACTACTTTATTGTACTGTTTCCACCCATCTTCTTATGGTGGTGTGAGATGGGATAAAATGCCTAGATGAAGGGATGAAGTGAGGTGGGTGATATGGCTGCTGTGATGTGGCTTAGGCACCCACTGACCTGACAGGTATATCAGAAGGAGGATCATCTGCTTCTGGACCACAGTTAACCACGGGTAACTGAAACAGGGAAAGCAAAACCACTAATAAGGAGAGACTACCATATAAGAGCCTTTCATCTCTGTCCCGAATAGGCCATCTGGGCTGGCAGTCCCTTGTCTTGAACTGTGGTGTTTCAGAGAGCAAGAAAGCAATTTTTTGCTAGTACTTCAGAAATCATCTCTTAAAGTCTTACTTCTCATCCTTTGCTTCTTTGTCTGGTTTTGTTTTCTTGTTTCCTTTCTTCCTTTCTTTCTTTTTAAATTTTTATTTTTTGTGAAAAGATTTTGGGAACATGCTAGGTGACCTGCAAACATAAGAACTTAATACTTGGGGGCTCAATGACATTGGGCTTCAGGTGTTGCTATATTACATCTCCTTTCTTTTGTTTTCCATTTTCTTAGTGTTTAGAAGTTAAGTTCAACCTCTCTTATTGCTCACACTGCCAAGTAATTATACATTTTGTCTCCTGGGTGTAGAGTCTTGAGTTCAGTGTCTTCTTTTCACTAACCACATATTTTGTAACACTGTAACTCCTTTTATAAGCCTGCTTAGTCTCTCTTGTTTTGCACATTTCATTGAAACGGAAATTCATTCTATGTTAATTTCCTTATACTGCCATTTCTTTCTAAAGAGGAAAGAGATACTGCTGTTATCCCTTTAGTAGAAATCCCCCAAATTATTCCCAATTTGTGATGCCAAAGACAACCATTTAATCTCGTCTTTTGCTAACTGGGTGGAAAAGGGTGATTCCTTAGGAAAACAAACTGGTGAGAAATTGAGAGGAAGGAAATACACTTCTAAAATACTGGAAAGTAAAAAGTAGGCTGAGGGCCAGAATTAAGGAGACTCCCTCTGTTCGTGGTGTGTTGCCCTCTGAGCTGTATAATCTTGGGAAAATCCTTGATGATTTCTGCGCTTCATTTTTTCTCTTCTGTAAAATGGTCATAACCAATCCCTTCATTCTCCCCTGACTCATGAGATGGTGGTGAAGCTCTTGTCAAATGTGACACTGGAAGGTGATCCACAAAAACAAGACTCAAAGCTTCACCCCTCCTACTTCCCCAGTCTCTTGAGGTCATGCTAAAAGGGTTCTGGACTACATTGCCTTCAAATAAAGTAATTCTGGTGGGCTTTATTTGGGGACTGTTTTCTCCACCTCCTTTGGAGAACATCTAGGATTATTCCCAGCTGCTCCTCACATGGCCTAAGAGTTGCTCTTTGGCTTCCAAGAATAATTGGGCACAGTTCCAGTTTCAGCATATTGCAAGGCCTTCTCAGTAGTGCTGAGGTCAGTGACAGTGATGGCCAGCCCTAGGTCGGGGGACAACAGAAGACGCCAACACCAGGCCATGAGGACAGGCGGATCTGAACCTGGCCACGCGCACGTGCAGCCAAGAGGAAGAGGCTGACAAGCTGTTAAATGTCGTATTTCCAGGAGCTGATTTTCTTTGTGTTTTCCTGCCACATGATTGAGTGCTGGGGTCAAGAAAGTCCCGTACAATGTAACCTCCATTTTCTGTTCTCTCAGCGATCACAGAAGCCATTGAGATTCCGCAGTTTATCGGACGCAGTTACCTGGCATATGACAATCCAGATATCCTCAAGAGGTAATATATCTCATTAGGCATGTTCCTTATCTCTCTGGGGGCAGATTTCCCAATATCTTTCCCAGGGCTTTTCCTTATCTTACACATGAGAAGATAATTCTCAAAGAAGGCAGCCATGGCCCCTGGGGAAAAACACACACACACACACACACACACACACACACACAAAAGAAACATAGAAACTGGAACAGAAGAAAACAAAAAACAAAGTATATTTGGAAAATGCAGCCATTTCAGACAACCCCAGTACAAATAAGCCAATCCCTTTCAGGTCAGAGGGCCTGGACTGAGGAGTGAGTCCAGTCGCAGGATCTCTAGTAGTCAGGCTTGGAGATGCAGAGAGAACCTGACACTCCTGAAGCCAGGGCTTTGAGTGTGACCCCCAGGCGAGGCAGCTAGCCTCACGCCGTGCCGTGGCCATGGTCTACAGCTCTGCCTGGAGTTGGTAGCAGAAGGGTGATGTGCCGTCCACCAGACAAGCAGCTTCCAAGTCCACGTCCTACGCTGCAGCCTCATCAACAGGCGCCCACTGTCATCCCCAGTCTCTGGCCTCTTAGTGGGGGTCCTCAGCTGCATTCATGTGGCACAAGAGCATGGCACAACAGATGCCCAAGTCACAGCCATGGCTTTGGATTCCTGGTAGAAGAAGCTCCAGCCCATTGCTGGAGTCTAAGCTTGGAAAGGCCCACTGACAGGACAAGGGGAAGGCTGGCCCCAGGCACAGTCCCAGCCTAGTGAAGCTCCTCTTTGGCACTTTCGGTTTCTCTCTTTTCCTTCCCCTAGTTCTTGGTAGGTTATAGCGCACCAACCCTACTCCCACTGCCAGCACAGTCATTCTAGAATTTTCCTACCTCTTCAGGTTGACTTCATCATAATAACAAACTAAGGCAAAGCTTTAAGCCAAAGACACCCAATTCTTAGGGTGGAGCTTGACAGCTTTTTAAGGAACAAAAGTGGCTGACAGACATTTTCCTGGGGCACTGGATGTCCCTGGTACCTCTGCGTGCATACCAGACAGACATGGCTTCATTTCTCTGACCCAGTTTTGTATTATCTAGATTGACTTGGCATGGGGCATAATGGATTCCCAGCAAGAAAGACCTTTTCCTTTCCTTAGCCCATTTCCCCAAAGGTGGAAGGGCACCAAGTTCCCAGAAAGCAAGGACAGTGTGAAAGGGGCCCAAGTGTTCAGCCTCTGGTCTGTAGTGAGAGGCACTGGGTGGTGTAGGGGAGGAGGAGTTTGGTGAGAGTAGGAGGGGGCGGGGCCCAAACCAGAGCAGCTCCTGGGGCCTCAGGCACGCACACGTGTGCATCTGTGTGGAACAGTCAAGTTCAAGTGAAAGTCAGGTTCAGAGTCTATTTCAGTTAGATGCCTTTGGGAGTAACTGAAAACTCAGCTTAAAATGTCTTAAAGATGAAGAGTATTTATTATTTCCTGTATTGAATAGTCCAGATTTAGACTGAATCCTGGGTTGATTGATTCACAGAACCAACTGTATCATTGAAGACCCGAGTCTCTTGCATCTTTCTGCCTTGTTATCCTCAGCATTTTCTCCAGACCAATCCTTTCATGGTTATAAAATTGTTGTCCATAAGATGTTTATAAGATGTCTGTAAATCAGGATAATATGCGGTGGAAATAAAAAAGAACTTTTTTTTTCCTCATGGGATTCCTTTTAAAAGAAAAGGAATCTTTCCTAGAATCCTACTGATGCATTTCCTTTGTTGTTGGACAGTAGTGGGTCACACGCCCACCCCTAAATCAATGACTGCAGAGAAATGGAACCATCATGACCTGCTTATACTGATCCATGTGTCCAGGACGAGTGGGGGAGGAAAGGAACCCAGAACCAAAGACTGGGAAAAGCAGGTCTCCAAGGAATGGGCCTGGGCTGGATTGCCCTGCACCTCACTTGGTGGGGATGTCAACCCCTCCTCCATCCTTCTACGGCCCTACATGGGGAAGGCAACCTGGTCTCCTCCTGTCTAGATCAGGCTCTGGGAAGTGTAGACAAAAGTGCCCTCCACTGTTCACTCTGAAGGTACTCTACAGCTCCAGACCAGGCATGTGAGACAGACAGAGGCAAGGTACCAGTGACAGGAGGATGGAAAAGGAGACTGTACCAGTACGGCCATATTATGAGCAATATGAAATTATGTTTACTCTTATGTCACCTTTTATTTAAGGACCTCATGCCTGCTTCTCTCCCTACATTAGATAAAACACAGATCCCTTTAGTGGGACTGGATTTCTGAACTTGTCTCTTGCCCAGAATTGATAAGAACACCCTAAGAATTGATAAGCATATGATGCTGTTGTCCACCACACCTGTAGGGTGGAACCTGACCTGCCTGAGCACCTGTCCTTTCCTCTCAACTTCCTGTTCCCCTCTACCCTGTCTCTACCCCTACACTTCTCAAGATCATTATCCCATCAAGGCACGTTCTTTATCCGACACTCTGCCCCCTGTCCAGTCATTCTTCCTCTGTCCCCAAGGACAGTCACCACCAGGGCTGGCCATCCACAACTGCAGTCAGCCCAGAGCAGCTGCCAGCTTGAACTTCTTGGCAATTAAGAAATTCACTTTCTATTGGGGAACAGGGAACACTTACCCAAGAACCCTGGAGTAGTAGGGCAGGAAAGAGGGAAGACTGAGTGTGTATTGGGGTGCAGCCTGGGACCATGGCATTGGCCAGAGTCTGGCTGATCTGTGACTCAGGGCCCTCTCATGGGGTTTCACCACATGTCGGCTGCACAATGAGCAGTCTAGACTTTTAGACCCACGGTGTGAGTTGAGTGGTGATGCCATTTCTAATCTGGTAGCACGTGTCAGGAATGCCAGGTTATCCTTTTGCCTGGCTTCTCAGGGCTGGCAAACAAAACTGGGACTACTCAGAGCTGGACATTAGTGGAGGTGGAGTGATCTGATGCAATTGTTTTTACATTTACTCCAGGGTATCAGGATCAAGATCAAATGCATTCATGAGGTTTAAAACGACTGCCAAAGACGGCCTGTTGATGTGGAGGGGAGACAGCCCCCTGAGACCCAACAGTGATTTCATCTCCTTGGGCCTTCGGGATGGAGCCCTGGTGTTCAGGTAACCCCTTCACCGGCTGCCTTCAGCAGCATCCTGTGATTTTTCGCACACAGTGCAGATAATGCCAAATAAATCATGCAAAAGGGAGCCAGCCCACAGTCTGCTGAAACTGACTGCTGCCTGAAGCTCCAAGCTTATTTGAGGCTCTTGGCCTTTCCTTGCAGCATCCATCTTCTAGAGCAGTGGTTGGCACTGCTCAGGACCATCGGGACCACCATCTGGTTTGGTGAATGATGTTTTATTGGCATGTTGCCATACTCATTCATTTATACATTGGAATTGAAATAGATGAAGGCTGGATGAACTAGAGCAAAGAGGAAGGTTTAATTCTGGGGCTTCTGTGGGTCAAGCACTGGGATTACTGACAGCCAGAGTAGGATAATGTAAGTCTTTTCAATTTGAAGAAAGGACATTTTGAGAGAAATGTCTCTTGGCCAACATCACTGTTGCCCCTAAATAGCACAGCCTGCTAAGGGCCACGATTCTGTGATGGCTGGGGACCTTTGAGATGTGTGGTTGAAGGCTAAAGGTTGGCTGGTGAGAGCAGTTCTCATGGTCTCCACCCCTCCCCCCGGCCCCGAGGTCAAAGACGCAGCTCCTCACACCCTGTTGCAGGCGGGCTGCCACAGAGCCATTTTCTTGTGGTTTTCCTGTGGTTAACCTCGCGGAGGCCTCAAGTACTTGATTGTGCCCAGAAAAGGGAACCGAAACAGTAGCTTAGCCACGGGTTGGAGGCTCAACTTTCCCCCTAAACCGCCAGCTAAAACCCATTCACCTCCTGCGCCAGCTGGGCAAGGCAGCTGGACCTGCTCAGGGCTGGCCCACAGCACCCGCCCACCAGCCCGCCTGCTGCCCTCACAGCCCCTGCCAGCTCACTACGCCCCCACCTTCCCGAGCCCTCAGACAGCCTTCTAACAACTCCACTCCATCCCAGACATACCTCTTATGTTACTATTTCTTTCTCTGGTCTCTGAATATTGGCCCATGTTTTTCTTTTAAGCCTGGAGTGCTGGCTGTGTTCTGTGTAGAGAGTATGCCGCTTAGCCGCCCCCCCCACCCCCACCCCCCCCCGCCACCCGGGGGCAGACACCTGGATCCAGCCCTGGGCCCAGGAACCCGGCATTGCCGCTCTGCTGCATTTCCTTCCTCTGGGCAGTCACCTCCCCACAGCCATCCACCCACCACGGATGTACGGTGGTGCCGTGTGAGGCAGGGCATTGGAGCAGTTAGAGTGCAGGCCACTGGTCAGGAAATAATCAGATACAGTGAGTCAGCAGGGAGCTTGATTCAGAGGTGGATTCCTGGGCCCACCCCCAGAGTCAGGTGCCAGAACTCTACTGGACACTATCAGGAACCAGGCCCTGAGAAACAGTCTGCATGGGCAAAAGCGTGGGCTTCGGAGTCAGATGGGTGATCCCTGCAGCAGTGGGCTGCCTACAAGTTCGTTGTGAGGGAAGTGAATTCACATCAAGGGCTTAGGGCAGGGCCTGCGTAGCTAGTCATGAGTGGTAATGATTACCAAAATGTTTATCCTTGATAAACTGTTTCCTATGTTCTAAACACCCCCCTCACCCCCACCCACCCTGGCTCAAGTTGATAACATATGTAAGGAGATTAGCACAATATAACTACTTCATACAAGTTCGCTGTTATTATTGTTATTGTTACTATTATTTTTAATAAGACAGAGGCCCTGCCCTCAAGCAGCTTACATCAGTGGAACCTAGGGAGGAAATGGTCTACTGAGTAGATAACCATTTTTGAGGTTTCAGCATTTGATCCAGGTCCAAAGCAAAATTGGAAACCAACGGTACTAAAATCTAATCTCAGTTTTCTTGACTTTCTTCAGCTAAATGCTGGTCCTTTTGCTAATTTAGTGCTCAAAGCCCTTCTGCCAGAGAAGAAGAAAGAAGGATGGAGCTTTAAGAAAAAAAATATTTATGGATTTAGTGCAAGATTAAGTAGAAGCAAGGGAATCAAAGTGATCAATTTAGAGTGTGGGGTTTTTTGTTTTGTTTTGTTTCATGATCGTATGTAGAGCATAAAACCCAGCCAGCTGGTTCATGAAAATCACTTGACTGATAATGATTGCTGCTAATTTTCCATGTGGCCTTCATAACATTTTCATTCAACAGATCAAAGGGAGAGAGCTGACATTAGCAAAGTGCCCTGTGCTACAGTTTAAAGGGGGCACAACTAAGCAGGAGTGTCACCACATGGAGGCAGCCAGGTAGGTTCCTAAGGGACTCACCTGATGGCCAGGCTCACCTTGCTGCTCATGGCCTTTTGTGCACAGCAAATTGAGTAGGTGAACTTGGATCAGGATAACCAATGCCTGCTAAACAGATGCATGAGGCATTGATACTGAAACCAGACATGCATTCATCTGTTCATTTGTTCATTCATTTGTGTTTTTTAAATTAAGGTGTCATTTACATAAGGAGCACAAATATTAGGGATACAGCTTGATAAAGTTTCAAACATGTAAACATCTGTGTAACCACCACCCAGAACAAGAGATAGAACATTTCCCACCCCCAAGGAGGCTTCTACCCTCTTCCAACAAGGGTAACCGCTATTCTTGGTCATTTAGTATTATATAAAAGAAAGAGATTCTAGGGTGAAGTATCAGGGTATCTGGGAAGCAGGGGTTTTTTGGAGGGTCTGGAATCAGAGAGAGTGGGGGGTTGGAAAGCCAGTCCACGGACATGCCAGCTGAGTTCCATCCATCCCCAGTAATGGCTGGATTCCTGTCTGCCAGGGTCGTGTTGGCCCCCTTGAGCACATTCTGGCTGTTTGCATGAACAGGAGTGTTCTCAGCCTGGAGAACAGAAAAAGGAAGCACAACTGAAAAGGTCTCCACTCCCAGGATTGCAGTCACATTCCAATCAGGTGTCCCTGTGATTACTCAGGTCACCTTGATTCTGAGAGCTGGGTGTTCCTGGCCTACTTGGTTACACATTTACAGCAGCTCTTGGTTCACTCACACACATGAGTGCTCTTCCAGGAGAAGCTTGGCAGGCTTAACTCTTGCTGGCAACTTTCTGGGGCTGACTCCTCCAGATATGTTGTAAACCTGCTGCATTAACTACTCCACGTATTTGGCTGATAGGATTATTTGTTTGGCTCCTACCATCTGCTGTGCTCTTTATACATGTTGTCCTCCTTAATATTCCCTACGATCCTTCAGGGAAGCTATTATTACCCCCATGTCACAGGTGAGGAAACTTAGGCTCAGGTGAAGCAAATTGCCCAAGGTCACAGAGCTTGTAATCAGCAAGACTGGGAACCGAGGCTGATCCAAGCATCCATGCTCTTTCTGTCTTCCCATGCAGCCTCTCATAAAAGCCACATACAGTAATGCAGCTACGTTCCTGCCAACCAGTGTTCAGCCCTGCTTCATCATCATTTATCTCTTCAACAAGCATTTGGCCACTAAATAATGAAATCTGAAAATTCCACCTCCGGGCTGCCTCATACAAGGAGACACTTGATGTGGGAAAATTTATGAGCAAACAGTGGATTTTTCAGGGTCAGAGTGACAGCTTTGTGTCAGAGTTTGTCAAGTTGTCAAGTCACCCGAGTGCTATTCTTGGTTAAATGTCGATGGGCTGTGTGACTCTTTGAGCCTCCGTTATTAGAAAGGACCCACAGTGCTTTCCCTGGGGAGAGCCAGGGGCTTTCTGTTCTCACTCTTTTCTCAGACGAGTGCATTGTAAGAGCTCAGCAGCTAATTCAGGTTTCCTCTCAGTGTTCCTATTTCTTGGCCAATGAAGTAAAGGAGGGACGTGTCCTCTTCTAAGATGAAGAGAGAGTTGTCCCAGGTGGAATACGTTTTCCTTCAAAAGCATGATGATATAGGCTTTATTATATTACTGAAAGGAGGTCCAGGCAGTTGGCCCAGGGCCCGGCTGAGAGTAGTCACTCACTAAATATTTGTGGAATTGAATTAAATTAGAATAATTGAATGAACACTGGACTAAGAGGGCTATTTCTCTCTGGCAAACAACATGTGCATGTCTTCCAATACCCTTAGGGTATCAGAGTATCTGAAAACTGACATCAAAAGTAGAAAGCTAATGAGTGGACCTGATAGGAGAGTAAAATGGCAGTGGGGTGGGGGGCAGATAAGATACCAAGTTCCAGTCCTTAATACTAGCTTTGGGACTTTAGGCAAATGCCCTTAATCTCTCTGGAACTCAGCCTACTCTGTAATGTTTTGTTTTGTTTTGCTTTGATTTTCATAAAGGAGTAACACATGTATTAGTTTCTGAGGGCTGCCATAACAAATTGGTGGCTTAGAACAATAGAAATTCATTCCATCACCATTCCGGAGTCTGGAGCCCCCGTGTAGGTGCTGGCAGGGTGGGCTCCCCGGCGGCTCCGCGGGACAATGTTCTCCATGCCCCTCTCCCAGGTGCTGGTAGCTGCTGGCCATCCCTGGTGCTTCCAGGCTGGTAGAGAGCACCCTCCAATCTCAGCCTCTCTCCTCACGGGGCAGTCTGCCTTGTGTGTCTCCATCTGTGTCCACATTTCCTCCATTTGTCACCATTGGATTTAGGGTTGTCCTAATCCAGTATGAGTTCATCTTAACTAATCACATCACATGCTGAGGTTCTGAGTCGACATTAATTTGCAGGGGGCACTACTCAATCTTTTCAACACATTGCAAATTATAAAGCCTCTCTTGTTTCTGATGCTGTGGACCTAATGCTTCTGTTAGTTCCATATGGAACATGGAGCCCAAAAAACAAGTCAACCTGGAGGACATCATGCTGAGTGAAATAAGCTAGTCACAAAGAGACAAACACAGTAAAATTGTTCTTACATGAGGCACCTCGAGTAGTCCAACTCAGAGAGAGAAAGCAGACTGCTGCTGGTTGCCAAGGGCTGGGAGAAGAAGGCTCGGAGCGTTGTTCTTTCAGGGGTACAGAGTTTCCATGTTGCAAGATGAATAGAATTCTGAGATTGCTTGCCCAACGTGAATGTACTTAGTACTACTGAATCGCACACTAAAAATGGTTAAGATGGTAAATTTTATGTCATGTACATTTTAATACAATTAAAAAAATTAGTTCATGGAATGGAATGGAAACCTAATGCGTTTTATAACACTGTTTTGTTTTGTGTTAAAGGAGCTGCATTCTACATTCCAAAGAACTTCTGCAGTGAGTTTGCGAATCGCTGCAGTCTGCCTGTGCTTCAGTGCTTATTCTGCTCTGTCTTGTTCTCCTGTGCCTTTAGCTATAACCTGGGCAGTGGAGTGGCATCCATCATGGTGAATGGCTCCTTCAACGACGGCCGGTGGCACCGAGTCAAGGCTGTTAGGTGAGTACCCACCACAGTGGGAGCCAGAGCCAGAGCTCAGCCAAGGGGGGATGTGCTTTCCGACTCTCCTTTGTCCCACTGTCCTGTTCCCCAGCCTTGCCTGGCTTCCCAGGACTCATGACCTGGGGCATTTTGTTGCCAATGCCTACTTCTGCTCATCACTGACACTGACAGATCAGAGAGGCTGAGCTCCCAGATCCTCAATCAAGTGACCTTTTGGAGAGAATGTCTTGATGGCTAAACTGGAAGAGCCTCACTACCTCACTGGCTAGTGTAATCTAGCTGTCTCTAGTGGGACAAGATTTGAGGGCATGTGGACTTGGAGGAATGCTTCAAATTTCACTATGTAGGCAATTGCCAACTTCTTTTGTGATACTACATTACTTGAACCTTAGAAAGCATGTAAACCAATTACATATCCCCTTACTTCACAGAGGTCACTGTCCTGACTTTTGATTAATTTTGGGTGAATCATTCCCTTGATATTAGTTCTACTACCTATATCCATATTCCTAAAATATATTTTGAGAAACCAAATGGCACGTCCAAACTGTGCTGTATAAAGAAATGTCAATCATGCCTTGTTAGAGGAAAGTTCCAGAAGATGAGCTGAACAGAGTCTTTGGTTTGGGTTCCCTGAAAATTTGCCATCACCCCTTCTGTGGTGGTCAGTGTGTGAGGTCATGAATGAGACTTTGGAAGCATGGCTACTTCCTACAAATGGTTGTTTGCCTACTCAGCTCACATATAAACTACAGGGAGGAAGCCTTGTTGGACTCCATTCCATCCACTGTGCCTGCCTTTGATACCCAGAAGGATGTGAGAATGGATGTGAGGATACAGAGGCAGATCTGTGCCCATCAGCTGTCCAGGCAGCCTAGAAAGCCCTTGAGACAGACAGTGATTTCGATGAAGCTCTCAGTCTGGCTTGTTGAAAAAAGAAGTGTCTTCCCATAGTGAATATTTACAGACTTGATCTCAAATATATTCTAGATTTCAAGTTAAAAAGTTCACAGTCCAGCCCAACTTCAAGATACTCCAGACTAAATGGTTTCTAAATTCTTCATTTTTCTTTTGCTCCTCTGTAAAAGGGCTCACCAGAATCATTTGGAGGAATATGCTTGACCACACTTAATCCCTGTAACTCCCTTCCTGGGAACGTTGGGGAACACCTGCTCTTAATTTCCTTGACTAGGCAAAGTTGGTAGAATGCTCAGACATTGTGGAAGGATTTTTAAACTCTCAAAATTGCTGTGGTTTGATTATGTGTGTCAAGATACACATTGGTGGGGATTCCAGGATTTTCCTAGACATCTAAGGAAACAGATGCTAAATGACTTTCCCAACCTGTACAACTGTCTGTGGGCAGACCCAAAATTAGAATCCTAGATGAAAGGTCTTTCTGTTCCACCCCACAGTGCAGCTCACCCCAGCTAGGATTTCAGATGTTTTTGAGGGATACAACAGAGGATGTTCCCCCAGAACTTCAGATGTCAGAGCGTAAAGCTTGGCACTACTAAGATGGTTTAGCAGACTTGATTCTTACTATTGTCATCACTGATGTCTCTCCTGGTGGGTCTTAGGTTGCAGTGAGGCCGAACAAAGGAACTGAGACTAGGAACTGGAGAGATGGAAGGATTCAAGAAGGTACTATGTTTTGTTCCAGAGGAGTAGACAGGCCTAGGAGGGATGGTACCACAGATCTAAGCAGGAACTGGGTTAAGGCCTGGGATACCAACTATGGCAAGAGGAGTTTGGATGGACACCTTAATTCTCTACAGCAGGCTCTAGGGTCAGAGATAGGGAAATGGATGAAGAAGAAATCTCAAAGGGGAGGCCTGGTTTATATGTTGTCTTGCTCTGAGTAATCCTGGTCTTGCAGGGATTATGAATAATCCTGGTCTTGCAGGAATTAATCTTAGCAGAAAAATGAAAGAAAATCCCTATGTATTAAGCACCTTCAGAACACTAAGTTACATACTTGATCTCAGTTAATATTTATAGCAACTTGAGTTTTGTAATCTTTATTTTATGGATGGGAATGATGATAATAGTGGTGACAATAACAACACGTTCCTCTACCACTCTTTATAGAGCAGGTGTGTATTGGGTACCATGCTCTGGGCTTTGCATGCATCATCTTTGATCTCCATTCAATCTTGGAAGATGCGCTTGGTTATTTTCATCTCAGATGATGATGTTGAAGCTCCACAGATTCACTTGTTCATTCATCTACTACTATGAGCCACATACTATTCCAGACACATGAGATAGCTCAGTGGATAATGGCAACACTCTTGCCTTGATGGTCTTGCATTCTAATGGGAGGCAATCTACAATAAGTAATGACCATAATGATGAAGTACATTGCTTGTTATGTTAGAAGGTGATACCATATTTGTTTTGCAAATCTAAGATGCCACTGATTATAAGACAGATCCTCATCTCAGAGATACAGAAAATGAAAAATTCTTAGAGTTGATGCAATAAGGTGGGAAAAAGTGAAATTTTTGAGAGTAACGGGGAGAAAAAGTCACAGCAGGCAAGGTATGCTGTTGGGGGACACTGCCTATCATGGCATTTGGATATAAGATTTTGAAAAAACATATCCAAAGTGGAGAGTCAGTGTGTGGTCTCAAAGGTAAAGGCAGAACAGGAGAAACACCTTTAAAGCTAGGTGTGAGAAGAGTTGCTATAAGGAGTGAGATATGGGCAACCATATTTGTATTACTGTACCCCCCCTATAAAAGGGTAGAGCCAGGAACCTCTAGAAAATAGAGGAGCAGTTATGAGCAGGAATATTTGTTTGTAATTTTTACTTGAATTTACTTGAAGAGCTGGAATGCAAGCCCCTTCTCTCCTTCATATAGCTGGCACACTTTTTCCCTACCAATGAAAAAGTAATGAAAGTCAGTTCTCTACAGGAAGTAAAATAAGGGTCTCTGGAGTGGGAGACAGGAGGTATGACTCCTGTACCACTGCAGATTGTGTAAATTAAGACTGGGGACTGTGTACAAGTTCATATGTTCAATATTAAGAACCCCATATTCTTCCCCATTAAGACTCCAGAATGTTGGCAGCCAGGCCTATACCCCAGGGTAAAAAAAGTAGAGAATCCAAGTGTCCCCAAGGAAATGATTGATCTGGATCACAGCACTATAAAACCACAGTCAACAAAGCGTATCCTGCACACAGAAATTCCAATCTGCTTTTTAGTATTCAACATTTAACTATGAAGTGGCAGCCAAGGGTCATGAGGCATTTGAAAAAGTCTCCAGCATGAAAGATGGGTACTAGAAGAAATAAACGTAAAAAAGTAGCTTGGAGGAAACAGACTATGAATGAACAAATGAAAAAAAATATTAATGTCATCTGAGAGCTAAGAGAGGTTATTAACCCAAGAAATAACTCTTTGCTATAAAAAGGGACTTTAAAAGCAAATAAGTACTCTAAAAAAAAAGAAGGGAAGAAATGTGGCCTGGGTTGATATACCCCCAAGGGCTATAGAGGCAGACATATATGTGTGAGGGAGGTTCATGGGACTGGGTAGTTTGGGAAACCAGCTTAGAAAACTGCAAGACCCTTGGCACAGATGCACACTTCCACTCCACAGTCCTCAGAGCCACTTCAGGGGGACCCTGTGGGTCCTTTAGAAACTTGCAAGCCGTTCTTCATACTGCTCCCAGAGTGATCCTCTGCCTACAAACACTGCTTCATTGGCTTCCCATTGTGGTTAGAATGACATCCAAACTCACCATGTGTCCCCGTATCAGCACTGCTCCTCCCTTTAAAGTTCTCTGGTTCCCTGTCACCTTCAGGATAATTCTAACGAAGCTCCTTCTGCCCTTTACCATCTGCTGATGGCTTCCTCTTTCAGTACGCCACTCTCACTTCTGGAATTCCCTATGCTCAGTCTCCCAACTTCCTTGTCTTTTCTCTCTGCCGTCACCACCTCCTGTGTGCCTTCTCCTTGGCCTGACCTGCCCAGCCTTCGAGACCCACCTCAGACACGATCTCCTTGGAGGTCTCCCTGACCCTCTCCTGCTGTGCAGTCCACAGCACCGTGAGCAGTGGCATGGTGTTGTCATTTGCATTCCGATTTTTTGCCTCATTAGTAAGACCGTAAGTGTAGTGCCTGATGCATATAGTAGGCACTTTAATGCATTTGTTTTGAAATGAATTAACGATTAACTGAAACTCCAAAAACATGGTGGTTTTTACAGGGATGGCCAATCAGGAAAGGTAACTGTGGATGACTATGGGGCCAGAACAGGCAAGTCACCCGGCATGATGAGGCAGCTCAACATCGATGGGGCACTGTTTGTGGGTAAGTGACCTTTGGCCAGATCTAAATTGTGACACTGCTTTTCCTTGTTAGTCCTCCCTTTGTCCCGCTGGGGCTCGCAGAGCTGCGCGCTTCACTGGATCAGACAAATACTTGTAAATCAGGAAGCTCTTCAGATGTTCCATTCTTCCACTTTCTGAACTCTTGACTCATGGCTGAGGGGGCAGGAAGCACTTCAATTCCTTTGTGCTTTGGACTGATCCACCCGGAAAAGTATGCTTTTCTTGTTTATAGAACAGGAAACTGCTGAACATAGCTCCATGAGTTCTCTCTGAGGAAGAAGGATCTGTCTTTCTGCCCCTCTCAGAATTAGAACGAGGGGCATTTCTGTAAAGGGATTAGAACCTGATCATGCAGGCAAAGACCCATGAAAAGATATCTTTATCCACACGATACTTTCTGAAAGTAAACTTAATTGAAAGCATTCAACACCAACGCATTTCTTTTGGTTTAAGATGACATCGTCTCTAGCTACATACTACATTTTGTTGACATTATACAATATTTCAGAATTTACCAGACACAGTTTGGTTTTAAGTGGTTAACTGGATCAGAAATCACGCATGAAGTAGGTATTTATAGCCCTGGGTTATGTATCAGATTGATTCAAGTCAACCTGTTGGTTCAAGGACAATTGTGAAGCATAGCTATGCGGTACCGAGCAGGTCCTCACCTGTCCTGCCAGCAGAGGGACGCCTTGATCAGCAGTCAAGTGTCCTAAACAGACACCTTTCCTTTGGCTCACCCCATCTTCCCCTTGCTTCCTGGCAGGTGGAATGAAGGAAATCGCTCTGCACACGAACAGGCAGTACATGCGGGGCCTAGTGGGCTGCGTCTCTCATTTCACCCTGTCCACCGATTACCACATTTCCCTCGTGGAAGACGCTGTGGATGGGAAAAACATCAACATGTGTGGATCCAAGTAACACCCGCTGGCCTTACCCAAGGGAGAGAGCCTTCCATCCTGAGGATCCCGGGGGCCCCAAGACCCTGCCTGGTGACGTACGCAGAGGTGTGGGGACCAGGCGTGTCTCCTCTCACCGAGGAGAAAGTACACCCTGATGAGAACTAGAACCGAGGCAGGAGTTCCTGTGTGGCTTTTCCTGCTGACACTCTGTGGGCCGAGCCCAGTGGAATGCTCTGTGTAGGATGCATCAGACTTTGTCCATTGGATGTGTAGTGGCTGCCAGAGATCACACATCAGTGCAAATTCCAGAGCCTGTCTGCTGTAGCTCAATGACTGTGTTGTGATTCATAATGTGTAAAAAAAGAAAGAAAAAGAGAGAGAGATCCAAAGGGCAGTATTAAACACTTCTCTCGTTCCCTGACTCATGATACTCTTACTGACAGCAGAATGACTGTGTGACCTTGAACCTCGAATTTCTCACCTTGCCCATGAATTATTAGGATTAACGCCTTCCACTCCTTGCTGGCTGGTTCAATGCACTCTAGTCCCTGAAAATAAGGATGAGGGAAGACTAGACATAGAATCACAATTATAATGCTGCCCCCCCCTAAAGTTTACCCTTTAATGAGAAATCCCTACTTTTTATAATGGAAATCCAAGGGACATGGCACCATGATTTTTTAGCTGTCCTTTTGTATGTGTATATTTTTATAGCTGCAAATTATCCATGCAGTATCCTTTTGCAAGTGTGGGTGGATGACCCTGAATACTTTGCACATTTCCTAAAAATTTTCTCCCAAAGGAGACTTGTCTGGAACAGGTAATTTGAGGTGGACACCTTGGGGAGCTGGCCATTCTCTTTTGGTAAATGTCAATGGCTCAGGAGATAAATATGAAGCTTCCAAAATAAATCGAAAGGCATGTGTGTTACTGAGGCGGGTCCCCATCATTTGTCTTGAGAGGGGCAATGTCTGTAGTAAACTTGAATAAAGGAGACAAAGGCTAGAACTTACTCATTTAGTCCTTCACTCATTTAATCCTTGCAAAGGCCGTGTCCAGAAGTGGACCCTCGGACAACTCGCATCTCTGAGGCTGTGCTGGGTGGTGCTGCCCTCAGCATGGTCTGAGCATCGGAGCAACCGGAGAAGTGGCTGCTTCCTTCAGAGCCATTGGCTGTGCCCCTTTGCTAGTCCCTCACATGACCCAGAGACAGCTGGCTCTCCAGCAGATCCCCATGAGAGGACTTGCTAAAGGAAAGGTGAGGTGAACACTGCTGCCGAAGAGGAGGGAAATATGATCCAGCTCACATAAGGGCCTATAATTAGTCTGTCAGGATTGAACTCCCGTTTGTGCAGCACTTACTCCATGCATACTTTGAGCTTTGGCTAAAGCACAGTTTTAGGCACTTTAAGAATTCCAAAACATGAATAAATAAGCCAGAGACATCACCTGTACCTCAACCTTCTGCCTCCTGTCTTGAGACCCTTTGGTGACTGACCAGGGTCCTTCCTACTAGAGGGACCATGGTAATAACATTGCCACTGAAAATAACGATTCATCCTCTCCTACATGGGTCACCTTTGAGTGAGGTTTGGAGCTAAGCCTCATGGTAGAAAGGGGGTCTTACCAACCCCCAACCACCCTGACCTCAACACCTTTCTGTGGAGTGTGTAAGGACTGGTACTTTTCAAGATATAACAAAGTTGTGTTCATAGCTCATTTTGAATCAACTATCCCCAGCCAAAAAAAAAATCATTGTGATTTTAGCAATGAAGCCAGAAGGGTCGTGTTGCAGATGAACTGCCCTCTGCAGGTGTCATCCAGAGAAAAACTCAGTGGCCCAGGGATGGGAGCTGGTATTGGGTGTTGAAGCTGGGGAGGATCCTGAGCCTCCTCGCCTTCTCCCTGGGCGGGATGGGGAAGGGCCTCCAAGGGGAGGGTGACACTGTGATGTGTCAGTGTCAGGGCAACAGGGTTCCCGATGCTGAGAGAGCAGCAGAACTGGACAGATGAGCTGATGCCACGAGAGGCTCAGGGTGGACAGGGTAAGAGAGCATGTCCCAAGCTAGGAGCAAGGCTCTTTCCTCCTCTCAGTGGACAACAGCCAGGAGATGTGGGATGAGTTTGTAACAGAGGTGGTTTTGAGGAAAAAAGCTGTCCTGAAGCTGAGGACTTGGCCCTGGGTTTGGACAGGCAGGAGTCCTGAAAGGAGCTCAGCCTGGGTTTGTGGGGGCCCCAGTTTCCTAAGAGTATCTGTTATCTATTGCAATAATGCTGTTTGGCGAATATGCACAGAACCTCAGTGGATGCCGCAGTAAGTGTGTACTGCTTCCATGCCAGGAACGGTCAGCTTGCAGCTCTGCTCATCGTGCTGGGCTTGACAAGGTGGTGGTTCTGGTCTCAGCCGACTTGTTGACACGTGGAGCAGTTGGCCCATTTAGGAAGGCATTGGCTGGGGTGGTGAGGAGACTGTCTGCTTCCTGAAGCTCTTGTCCTCCTCCTGGGCTAGCCAGACATGCCCTCCTCAGGACAGTGGAGGGACGGCAAGAGCTCTGGAGTGAAGGTGGAAGGCCTTTACAGCCTCGGCTTGGAACTGCCATGAGCCGCTTCTGCGGTATTCTATTAGTCAGTGTCTGCAGGTCCAAGAGATGAAGAAATTGACTGCGCCTCCACAGTGAGAGGAACCACTGAGTCACCTGGCAAAGGGCATGTATACAAGGAGGATGAAAAATCAGGGCCATCTGTGCAGTCTGTCCCCCACAGCAAGTCATACGTGCTGGCTGTTGAGGGAAGTGGTGCAATAGGGGTGAGGGGGCCCCTGATGGTAGGTCTTCTGCAGGGATGCTTGGGACAGGGACAGACGAGGTCTGTGCCATGCTCAGTGACCCACCCAGCTGGGCCAGGCCTGATGGGGCAGCGCTCGCCCCTCCTCCACCTCCCCTCCCTCATTCTTCCACCTGTTGCCTGATACTTGGCAGCCGTGCTGTTACTCGGAAGAGGAGGGACTAGCAGGGGAATGGGATCTCTGCCATGGCTTTTGGGTCATGACTCTGTTGAAAAGCATTTTGAAGAAGCTGGTTGGGCTTGTGGCTCAAGCCAGAGGTCTGGGGAGTAGCCAGGGAACTGGGAGGTGAGCACCATCTCTGTCCCATCCAGGAAGAGTATCACGAAGCTTGGGTTCCTGAAAAGCTTTTGTCCCACAGTCAGAATATGGAAAAATTCCTCTGATATCCCTTGAATTCTAAGCGAGGATGGGGGTGGGGTGAGGAAAGGGAATGTTCTTGCTTTTCCTATTAAAACTGACTATCCCAACCTCAGGAGTCCCTTCTGAGCCCCTGTGGGATTTCTCTCAGGGAGGTCTGTGCGGTCTTCTTTGTCCCCACACTGCCCCAGGAGCCCATGAGGCAGCAGCTTGGCGGCAGCTGCTCTGAGTGGCTGCCCTGCCTGCCCGCCCTCTTATTTGCTTTTCACTTCACGACCCAGTCCCGTTCCAATCTCCACGCTGCTCCAGTGCAGACAGGCCTCTGGATTCCATACACTAACAGCCCTAGTTTCAGAGTAACTGGAGTTTTCCCTCCGATGTCTCCCCGGGCCTCCCCTCTGCTGCCCACCTTGTCTCTTCCCCTTGCAAGGAGCTGCCTCCCCCCACAATGGGAGGAGGGACCTCGGAAGTGTGCCCAGAGCTGGCAGGCCCAGTGCTTTCCACTTGGAGGAAACACTGCATTTTTCACCTTTAACCCAGAAAAAATATGGTTCTCAGAAACTTGTTTTTAGCACTGAGTTCCCAAAGGAAGAATAGAGAGTAGGTGGGGCTTCCAGCCCCTGCAGAGCTCTGAGAGCCAGCCCCAGCCCCAGAAGGCTGTTCTTCCCTGGGAGGCGAGCTCCAAGGGGCAGCCTGCAGAAGTACAGCTGCTGGGCAAAAAAAAGGCAGAGAATTACACCTCCTGTGGAAAGTCAGTGAATCTTTTAGGAGAGGTGCTCGGACAAGCGTTAGCTGCTTCCTGTCCCCTTCCTTGCCTCTTCCAGCTCTGGTCCTGTCCAGGAGCACATGTAGGTGCCCTTGAAGGTGGAGGTGGGGGTATGGGAGTACCCTGCGACCCCATACCCTTAGCTGAGAAGGGTGTGTGATCAGCTCACCAAAGGCAGGAGGCGCAGTGCTCCAGGACTATCATCGTGAAGAAGCCCAGGGGTGAGAACGCTGCCAGGGTAGACTCCAAATCAGGACCCAAAAATCCTAGATGCAGAACTCAACTGCATCATAACCAGGTATTTCTATAACATGCGCCAAATAAAGAAAGGAAATGTGAGCGGCCTGCCTCAGCCCTTGTAAGACAGGGAAGTACAAAGAGAGCAGGCATCTAAGCTGGCGGGCTCTGGTGGAAGTGACAGGCTGTGGTTAGGAAGTTCCAGCTTACAGGAAGCTCTCTCCAGGCAGCAAGGTGACTAATGCAGCCCATCCACACGGACTGGCTCCTGGGATAGCCCCAATGAGCAACTACACTTCAACCTTACGGTCAGAGAACAGTCACACGTTTGATGTTAACAGCAGCCAGCACAGAGGGGCACAGCTGCCCAGAAAACCGAGTGACATGCTCATGGTCCTACCACGAGGACAAAACCGGGGTGCTTCACTGTGGAACTTTCCCACCCTTTACCCTGACCTTCAGTCAGACACAGCCTGCCCAAGGCCCCCACTGCTGCAAACTCCCAGGCTCTCCCACCTCCAGACAATATCTCACTGGAACCAGATTCCTTTCAAGGTGCACCTTATGTCCTGTGCTCTCTCATCTAAAGGATGTGCTAGTCTGCTACTTCTCTAAATGAGTCAAAGACTCCTAGATAAAGGGGCTTCTATTCCCAGACAGTATCAAAATATTTCAAAATCCCTGCTTATAGTTCCTGAAAATCTTGTATCCCTTGGATCCACAGACCCTTTACCAATGAGTGAGGATCCAGGATGGAGTTCATCTGGTGGTGGAGGAGCCCTGGGGGCAGAGGAAACTGAGCCAGGCAGCTGCCCGTTTCAGTGGCCATCCCGTAGGGGCTCTGGGCGGACCCTGCTCCCAGCTCCTGCCGGCCGCCCTCGTCTTAGAGGAAGAGGCCTATAAGCAGAGCTCTGCATGAGGTCAAAACCTCACTAGTCAATTGGTAGTAAAAGACCACATTCTGTGGTGCAGAAGTTGATTTAGAAGTGATCAAGTATAACATGCCAGTGGCATCTAGTGTGAAATTCAAGTATTATTTCTTAGTCCCAGCCAAATGAGTGCCAAACAATCTTTGCTTGACTTTCAGTCATCTATTATTTATGAACAGTATGAATGGTATAAATGTCTTGAATAAGGAATTAAATAATTCATCCATACCCTGGAGTTTTGTATATCCACAAAAGAATAATGCCATATAAATATTCTATTGATGTGAAAATATTTTAAAAATATGCTAAATAACAGTCAAGTTCCAAATTAGAATACACAATATAACCTATTTATACATATATATGCACACATATACATAAAAACATATTTATGAAAATAAGTGTAAATATTTATACACACACTCACATAGAAAAAAGTTTGAAAGATAAAAAGTAAAATGTTAAAAATAGCTAATACTGCATAAGGAGACTGTGATTTTTTTTTTCCTTTTATCTGTTTCTAAGTTTTCTTCAGTGAGCCGATAGTGAATATTTATTGCTTTATTCACTAAGATGATCACCTCCCTTCCTTTTGGGGACTGGTCCTCCTCCAACTCTAAATATGTGGTTCCTATGATAATGGCCTTTGACTAGAACCTCTATGCGGCCACGTGACTAGCCCAGGGAGGGACATATGACACAAGCCAGGCCCTCCTCACTGGGAGCTGGGAAGGCACTCTCTCCTCTTTGCTTGTAAGAGGGTAAGCTTGGAGGAGCCTGAACCACGGGCCCAGCTCTGTGGGGACATCTGGCCTATGAGAAGACAGTTTTGGATAGAGAAGAGGTGTTACCTCTGGCTGGGGTAGGAGGCTGCAGCA